GGACCCATTTTTAAAGTCTTTGGTATGACCCGACCGAGAATGGAACCTGATCTCACAGTCCCAGGGAGGACAGTACCACAAGGCCACTGAGCTGGTCCCATATTGTCCTTCTGTCTGTATTTGTATTCCAAATGGACTAAAGACAGCTCAGGTAAGAGGTGGTAAAATATGAGTAAAATAAAATAAGTCAAATAAATGCAACCATAGGAAGTTATCCAGTGTGATCCACAGCTATGCTAGCTGTAGATCTTTTCCTGTCTGTAGGAAGTTCCTGATCCAATTCCATGATGTCACTCTGAGTTTGCCTGTGTGCAGCTCTGACGTTGGATGTGTGTGTACAGAGGAAGTGAGTTGAGAGGAGCAGCATGTTGGCGTACTGACTGTGTGATTCGGCTGCAGCCCAGATTGGACTAAACAAGCAATAACTGGAGTTCTGTGTGTAAACTGGCCTGAATATGAAAATAGAACACAAGAAAAAGTTGTAAACGACAGCTTTACTTTAGAAACTATATAGAAAAGTCAGACAACTGCTAAACAGTGAATCAAAAACAGATGTGTAGAAAAACAACTGTTGCTCAGAGTGCTCTTAAAGCTGCAGTTTGACTTGCTCTCATGTTTCCATAAGACCACCACCCACTCGACTAGGACATTAAATTCACTGAGCTGCATGCTGACTTAGCGACTGCTCTCTGGAGTCACATGTGGAGGCTGTAGTAAGCATTTTGTTTTTGTCTTTAGCGCTGCAGACCATTTATTGCAGCACGGATATACTGAATAGTTTCACAACTTTTAAATCAAAAAGATAATCAGTCCATCGCCATTCTCCTTCCCGGCACCTCCGTTCTGCTGACTCCAACCTCCTTTCCCCTTTCAGAACAAAACATGGCACCATGGGGGATCGAGCCTTTGCAGCCGCTACCCCCACACTTTGGAACTCTCTCCCACTAAACATCAGGAACGCCGTCTCTCTACTTTTAAGTCACTGCTTAAAACCCACTTCTTTAAATTGGCCTTCTCTTAAGATCAACCCAGCATCCCCCAGTCTGTTTACTATGTTTCATGTTGTTTTATTATGTGTTTATTGCATTTTTTGTGAAGCCTGACTGACCTAAAAAGCGCTAGACAAGTTTCATGTATTATTATTATTATTATTATTATTATTATCACTTACAACTGCAGAAGGCAAAGTGTGTCCCCACTCCCTGTTCAGCCATTTTCCTGCACCAGATCTGGCGTTTACAGATGTTTCACACCTGTGTGAATAACACAGCTGTCTAAGAGAAAAACCACTTCTCCAACTCATTTACTTATTTACATATCTGAAAGGTGGCAGCCCTACCTGTGTCCATGCTGTCCAGGTCCAGGTGGTGAAGAACACACGATGAATCAGTCCCAGCTGATGGATGATCCTGAAGTGGTAGCAGGTTTTCTTTAGCCGTGTTTAGCTAACAGCTGCAATAGAAACAAAGCAGGAGAGCTGATTAAGATGCTGCTTCAGAACAACGCAGGAGATTAAAGATCCAACGCTTTGGTTCTGATCAGCTGAGGACAGATCCAGTCTGGAAAAGAGGACCTTTGCTCACCAGAGTTCTCTTCTGTTCTTCCAGCTACAGACTAAATAGAAGATGGATGCTCTACAAAAATACTAACAACGGTTTCTCCTGTTTAGTTCTGTCTGGTGGCTCACTAAATCCAGCATGTGCGTGCGCGCGCGCCTGTTCTATTGATCTCTTTATTAAAACTATTTAACGGTAATAAACTAGTTTGTTGATTTTAAACAGGGAAAACCCCACTCGCGATTTAGCGATAGCATGATGCTAACTCCATTAGGCCGCTAGCGTGCTTTCCCTCACAAAGAAACGGTGTCCACTCACCAAGTGAACTGCTCCACTCACTAAAGACGGTAAATGTTCCAGATCCAACTACGTTACTGACTGTACTACCGACTACTGACTACCAAAACTCACCAAGTCCACCGAGTTATCTCAGAACAGCACAGCTTCTAGGTCGTGTCTCGACAACTACAGTTGGCTACAGCTTAGCTTAGTTGTATCACGGGGCGCGGAGTGGACACAACAATACCATATATGGAAATGGTGCCATTGCTTTCCAGAACTGAAGGGGGCGCTAATGTCGAGCTACCGTTTTGGAAAAAATCTTTATTCAAACTGTTCATGAAACAATATATAAATCTAGGTAAACTATCGTAATTTCTATATTTCTGATTCATTAATAGTTACAGTTTATTACAATATTTTTTGTACGTCGTTGCACTAAACATGACACAGTCAACAATCATTTAAAACTATAATTTTCAATAATCTTCATCAAAGAATGACTGATTTAATTTTTTTGTTATTTTATCATGTAACCTAATGAAAAAATTGGGTAAATGTGTGGAGACAACTTTCCATTTTAGCAAAAAGAATAACTTCCAAAAGGATGGCTCTGTTGAACAGCTGCTGAGAACGACTTTTATGGATTTTTGTTTCATATCAATATAATTTCTAAAAACATGTGAAACTCCAAAAATTAGAACGTTGCACATTCATTTATGTAAGTAAAAGCAAAACCAATTGCAAAGTACTTATGTCTGACAATTTTCTATTTAAAAGCAGTGTTGGTTTTTTTTAATGTAATATTCTAATTGTCTGAAATTTTTAATGCAGGATTTTCATCATCTGTAAGCATTAATTATTACAATTATAACAAATAAAGGCTGAAATATCTGGCTTTGTATGCGTCTTATTACTGAAATAAATCAACTTTTTCACTATATTCTCGTGTTTTGAGTTTTACCGGTAATTAGATTTTTTATTAAGTTCATTTGAGTCATTTTATATAAACTGCAACCAATTTTTCAAGAAACTTTATTCTCAAACAGAGGAACAACAGGATATTGTTTCAAAAAAATCAAAACAGCAGCAGTTCTTTTCAACATTACAAAAAACACACATGTGAGTGCACTTGCTGCAGAAATGTTTCACTGGACTATTTGGCAATGTTTGAACATTTGAACATGCTCAATGCTGACAGCCAGGGCAGTGTCCAGGTATCCCGCCAGAGTAATAGCGAGGGTACTTTCCTCTTCGTCCTTTTCCCGTGAAGCCCACACAGTCTTTGTATAGACCGTGCTCAGACTTGAAGGTTGCAGAAAACCTGCTCCAGTGAATCTCACCTATTAACAAAATGATAATTAAATTAAGCCAACTAATTAACATCATTGGTCATTTATTACCATCCAGCCAGGCAAAGTGGGCCTTCTTCCTAAAAACAGGATCTGAAACAATGGTGATGAAGTGTTTGCAGGTCAGTGCCAATGACAGGTAAGCTGCATCTCCTTCTGTTAGGATCACCTCCAGGAGCACAGCTTCAAGCACAAGTCTATGAAAACAACACACATGTGCACTGTGAGACTGTCATAAAATTACAAGACAACATGAATGTTTATTTATTGATTTTTGTCATTTAAAAGGAAAAGAAAGAACACAGTAATACAGAATCTCAATTATAGTAACCAAACAGGTGTAGGCTGAAGCCTAGCTTTTTATGCCTACCCTATTTACTCAATCACATTACTTCTCAAAAAAAAAAAGAAATGACAATAATAAGATAAAAGTAATGTAATAATAAAAATGAGAGTGAAATAAAAATAATAATTATCAATCAGTCAATCAAATATACTTTATTAATCCCAGAGGGAAATTAGAGTTTCAGTACACACAATTCAGAGATCAGACATACATGGGCAAGACACATGACAAGAATTGGTGAGTGTGGTCATTCGCAACCCTGAGTCGCGCTACCTTAATAGAGACAAGAGGGTTACATGAGGATTGGTTCAGGTGGAGGGAAAAAAAGGCACTTCAGAGTTACCCTCCCACCAGGAGGGCAGCTTTGCTCTGCAAAAAAACACCTCAGACAGATATGCAACAGACTTCAGACAACACAACATAAGTGTCCACTAGGTGGGGTGGTGGGTTGGAACTATCCTAACTTCAGTTCCTGCAGCCACGAAGCAGCGCATGTCACCTCAGTGTGGATGGGGGAGGAGCATTGAGGGTTGGAGGGTTGCAGTGACCCTGGAACGTTTCAGCGGCCTTCCCGCAGTCCCGCCCAGGCTGGGAAAGGAGACAGAGTTGAGTTGCCATAGCGACGGCACATTCCACATATCTTCTGAGGGGGTAGTTTTCGTTGGAGCCTTGCAGGCTCAAGGACGCCAGATTCCGATTAGAAATTGTTTTGGGGCCAGACAGAGATAATTTCCTCTCTGTCTTACAGTTTGTTGGTCCTCACATAGGCGGAGATCCAAGGGGGGACGTGTCCCCCCCTCACACAAAGTTGTCCCCCCCACAAAAGTTATTGTAAACACATAAATGCTATCAGTAAACCTGTATTGTTTCCTAAAACCACTACATAAAAGTTAGTCTGCAAATACAAAACAATGTGTTTTTAATTGTTGAGAAATTATAGTTCCCCCCCCCCCCCCCCCCCCCCCCCAATTCCTCAAGTTGGTACGGCCGGTCCACACACGCTGTTTCCAACGGGCGGGGCTGCCGGCTCTACCCCGCTCACAGCTTCACAGCAGCCCGCAGGCTCACAGGAGGCAGGAATCAAAAAGCCAGCGGTTTCCTGCAGTAAGTCATTTATCACACGCTTGTTCTACAAACTTAAATATGTATGTCACATGTGGTCATAAATGTCAAACATTGACACCGATTATCTTTAGATTTTGATCACCGGTCGGAGATCCCTTTATGACAGACTACCACCACCACAGTAAAAAAAAAATAGTTGTCTCTTCATGTTCTCTGGTCATTCCAGGATTATTTCGCTATTATTATTCCATTCACTAAGGTGATCAAAAGTTCCTTTTTCCGGACACGTACGCTTTCACGGTCTGCCCCTGGAATCTACGGAGCATTTATAGATCGATGAAAATGTCCGCGTTTCATCCTATTTAGCAGATGAATATGGTAGAATCAAAACTAACTGGTCCGATGTATGGAAAACCACAGCGCTTAACCGCTCTTATGCCGTCTTCCCCAGGCTCTGCAGTTGTTTACAATATGTCAAAGTGCAGATGCGCCGTGCAGCTTAGGGATGAACCGGTTGCAGCAAATGTGTGGTGGAGGCAAAGCTCTCAGTGTAAAAGAACGTAGACACAAAAACACTATGAAAACTGAGAAAAGTGAGGGATCGATTAAACTGAAAGATAAACTATAGAGTATGTATATGTTTAGTGTATTTGTAAAGTAAATGTTTTTAATTTTTATTATTAAAGTGAAACAAATATTTAAAGAATATATTTTTAGATTTTGTGTATCTTTCGTTCAGTAGGACTTAGATAAAGTTATTAAATATTACAGTTATTCTCTAATAGCCTACAAACATTTCTATGATTTATTAAAGAGATTTCAGTCATTTTGGTACTTGACTTGTGAAAGCTGATTTGAAGTTTTTTATTTTTTTCTAGACATATTTAGAAGGAAAATTTCAAATGTATTCAAATCAATATGGAACTATTTGGGGTTTAGTAGCTTTCATGTTATGTGATTTAATACAATTTTAATTTGACATTTATGTTCTCTCTCTTTGTTGTGAAAAAGTTAGATATGTTTTAGTACTTAAAATTAATGCTTTGCATCCGTCCACACGTGTAGCTGCTGGTCAGCTAATAGCCGTGTCATTTCAGGACATGTTGCTTCAACTATTAACGATCTACTTTTAGATCTTTATTCTGAATGGCTTATTCCGTTTTAGGCCACAGTCTTGTTATTGAAATGAAAACAAAAAGAAAGAATGCTTATGAAGATGTACAAAATTGTCAAGATATTGTTGTTGATCAATATCCTCCAGCTCCGTTCTAATGACAATATCCCATGTAGTGAACCTGATTAGGCTCTTTTAATTATGTAGAGTAATGGTTTATGCTCTTTTATGAACGAGGAACCATCCTACATATTTTATAGTTTAAGAAGACTCAAAGGTTGTTTTCATCGATAAACTGTCGATAATATCCGTGGGTCTGTGTTTCAGTTCAATGAAGAGACAAGTTGAAAGTTAAAAAATTTAATTCTTCAAATTAAACTAATGATTTACATCAACATTGGCAACTTTGTTGAACAATCTTTAACAGTTGATATTGTAAGCTTGCACAAATAGACCTGGTGTGGGATGTGCTGAAGGTTGAGTGTGATGTGATGTGATGTGATTATGGATGCGTGTGTGTGAAATGTAGTGAAAATTGAGAATAAGGTGAGATGAATGCGTGTGTGCATCTGATTTTGCTTCAGGAAGAAACAGGTGTCTGAGTGAAAAGTGATGGTTTGAATAAACTTAGGTTTTGTTGGAAAAGATGCATCAGACGCTATCTCTCGTGGACTGCCTCACCCTATTCGGACCCTCCTTTTAGACCCGGGACGTCAAAGGACGATGTTTCATCCAGGGGTGACACCTCGGCTGACAAAGAAGACGAAGGCGTGCTGCAACCCGGTCCAGGAGATGACCTCGGTACACGTGATGATGAAGCGTTTGCAGATGCGCTTTCTTAAGTTTAATTACTCAGAAAATCAAAGACTCTGGACGAGTCTGCGTTAGCGGTTGTAATTCAGCTATCCTGTCTGGCTTGACAGGAATAGCGTGAGAGGGGGGGGGGGGGGGGGGGGGAAAGGAGCCGGTGGGCTCCGTTCCCCCGTTAGCGGTTGTTCACATGTCCTCTCTCTCCCGTTGTCAAACACGAAATGAATCATGAACTGAAAAACTTACCAAAAGCCTTTCTCTTCTCAAAGCAAAACGTGTGCGTCAGCAAATGTGTTTTGGAGTTTACTGTGAGAGCAGATGTGTGTGTGAAGGTCGTTAACAAAAACATCCTCAGAACATTATTTAATTAAGCAGTGATTCATTAGTTATTATGATTACCCAAAGCATAATAATCATTCATTTGATTAAACACATTTATAATGAGCAAAATGATAATGATTATTCTTTAACATTAAAATAAAGAAAAGGAAGTTTCCTTGAACCGTCACCTTATCGTGGTGGAGGAGTTTGAGTGCCCTAATGATCCTAGGAGCTATGTTGTCTGGGGCACTTAGTGCCCCTGGTAGGGTCTCCCATGACAAATTGGTCTTAGGTGAAGGGTGAGACAAAGAACGGTTCGAAGGATCTTTCATGGCGGTTAAAACGAAGAGTCGGAGTACCCGGCCCGGAGGGTTACCGGGGTCCCACCCTGGAGCCAGGCCTGGGGTTGGGGCCAGTGAGCAAGCGCCTGGTGGCTCGGGCTTTCGCCCATGGGGCCCGGCCGGGCCCAGCCCGAACCGGATACATGGGCTCGTCCAACTGTGGACCCACCACCCGCAGGAGGAACATGAAGGGTCCGGTGCAATGCGAATCGGGTGGCAGACCAAGGCGGGAGCCTTGGCGGTCCAATCCCCGGACAAGGAAACTAGTTTTTGGGACATGGAATGTCACCTCGCTGGCGGGGAAGGAGCCGGAGCTTGTGGCAGAGGGTGAGCGGTACCGGCTAGATATAGTCGGACTCACCTCGACACATTGCATTGGCTCTGGAACCCGAGACCTGGAGAGGGGTTGGAAGCTCTACTTTGCTGGAATTGCTCCAGGTGAGAGGCGGAGGGCTGGGGTTGGCTTTTTGTTAGCCCCGAGACTCTCTGCCTGTGTGTTGGGGTTTACCCCGGGGGACAAGAGGGTAGCTTCCTTGCGCCTTCGGGTCGGGGAACGGGTCCTGACTGTTGTTTGTGCTTATGGGCCAAATATCAGTTCAGAGTACCCACCCTTTTTGGAGTCCCTGGGACGAGTGCTAGATAGTGCTCCATCAGGGGACTCCATTGTCCTGCTGGGGGACTTCAATGCTCACGTGGGCAATGACAGCTTGACCTGGAGGGGTGTGATTGGGAGGAACGGCCCACCTAATCTGAACTCGAGCGGTGTTTTGTTAATGGACTTCTGTGCAAGTCCCAGTTTGGCCATAACGAACACCATGTTCGAACATAAGGATGCCCACCGGTTCACTTGGTACCAGGGCAGCCTAGGTCACAGGTCGATGATAGATTTTGTAGTCGTATCATCTGACCTGCGGCCGTATGTTTTGGACACCCGGGTGAAGAGAGGGGCGGAGCTGTCAACTGATCACCACCTGGTGGTGAGTTGGATCAGATGGCAAGGGAACATGCCGCGTAGACCTGGCAGACCCAAACGCATAGTGAGGGCCTGCTGGGAACGCCTGGCAGAAGAACCTGTCAAGACGGTCTTCAACTCCCACCTCCGGCAGAGCTTTGACCACGTCCCGAGAGCAGTGGGGGACATTGAGTCCGAGTGGGCCTTGTTCCACTCTGCGATTGTCGAGGCGGCTGTTGCTAGCTGTGGTCGTAAGGTGGCCGGTGCCAGTCGTGGTGGCAACCCCCGTACCCGCTGGTGGACACCAGAGGTTCGGGGAGCCGTCAGGCTGAAGAAGGAGGCCTCCAGGGCGTGGCTGGTCTGTGGGTCTCCGGAGGCAGCAGACAGGTACCGGATAGCCAAGCGGGGTGCAGCAGTGGCAGTTGCTGAGGCAAAATCTCGGGCGTGGGAGGAGTTTGGTGAGGCCATGGAGAAAGACTATCGATCGGCTCCAAAGAGGTTCTGGCAAACTGTCCGGCGCCTCAGGAGAGGATGGCAGCAACTCGCTCACACTGTTTATAGTGGGGATGGGGAGCTGCTGACGTCAACTGAGGCTATAGTCAGACGGTGGAAGGAATACTTTGAGGAGCTCCTCAATCCCACCAATGCGCATTCCGAGGAGGAACCAGAGCTGGGAGGCCTGGGGATGGACTGTCCGATCTCGGGGGCAGAAGTTGCTGAGGTAGTCAAACAACTACACAGCGGCGGAGCCCCGGGGGCGGATGAGGTTCGTCCTGGGTATCTCAAGGCTATGGATGTTGTGGGGCTGTCATGGTTGACACGTCTCTACAACATTGCGTGGTCATCAGGGGCAGTTCCTAGGGAGTGGCAGACCGGGGTGGTGGTCCCCATCTTTAAGAAGGGTGACCTGAGGGTGTGTTCCAACTCTAGGGGGATCACACTCCTCAGCCTCCCTGGAAAGGTCTACTCCAAGGTACTGGAGAGGAGGGTCCGATCGATAGTTGAATCTCAGATAGAGGAGGAGCAATGTGGTTTTCGTCCTGGCCGTGGAACTGTGGACCAGCTCTATACCCTTGCAAGGGTGATGGAGGGGGCATGGGAGTTTGCCCAACCAATCCACATGTGCTTTGTGGATTTGGAGAAGGCTTATGACCGTGTCCCCAGGGGCACCCTGTGGGGGACGCTCCAGGAGTATGGGGTGGGTGGCTTTCTGTTAAGGACCATTCAGTCCCTTTACCAGAGGAGCGTGAGTTTGGTCCGCATAGCCGGTAGTAAGTCGGACCTGTTCCCAGTGAGGGTTGGACTCCGCCAGGGCTGCCCTTTGTCACCGGTTCTGTTCATCATTTTTATGGACAGAATTTCTAGACGCAGCCGTGGTGTGGAGTGTGTCAAGTTTGGTGGCAGGAGAATCTCGTCTCTGCTTTTTGCGGATGATGTGGTCCTCCTAGCTTCATCCAGCTCTGACCTTCAGCTCTTGCTGGGTAGGTTCGCGGCCGAATGTGAAGCGGCTGGGATGAGGATCAGCACCTCCAAATCTGAGACCATGGTTCTCGACCGGAAAAGGGTGGCTTGCCACCTCCGGGTCGGGGGAGAGGTCCTACCTCAAGTGGAGGAGTTTAAGTATCTCGGGGTCTTGTTTACGAGTGAGGGTAGGAGGGATCGGGAGATCGACAGGCGGATTGGTTCGGCGTCTGCAGTGATGCGGACGCTGAGCCGATCTGTCATGGGGAAGAGGGAGCTGAGCCAGAAAGCCAGGCTCTCGATTTACCGGTCGATCTACGTCCCAATCCTCACCTATGGTCATGAGCTTTGGGTAATGACCGAAAGAACGAGATCGCGGATACAAGCGGCCGAAATGAGTTTCCTCCGTAGGGTGGCCGGGATCACCCTTAGAGATAGGGTGAGGAGCTCGGTCATTCGGGAGGGACTCGGAGTAGAACCGCTGCTCCTCCAATCTGGTCCGGGAACGCCTTGGGGTCCTGCCGGAGGAGCTGGTGGACAAGGCCGGGGAGAGGACGGCCTGGAGCTCCCTAGTTGGGATGCTGCCCCCGCGACCCGGACCCGGATAAGCGGAGGAAGACGACAACGAAGTTTAAGACTTGTTATGTTATGACTACTTCCATGGGAACAACATCTTCTGGCACGAAGCTGCAGGTGGCAGATGTTATGGTTTCTCCCAGACTCACTGGCGTTCAGGTCTTAATCTGTGGGTGAAAGTTCTCAGTGACCCAGCTCTTGACCCAGCCGAGTCAAATGACCTTTGGCACAGAAAACCCATATTTCCTCACGTTACACCCATCTGTGTGTGTGTTGCTGTTCAACTGTCAGCAGACCAGGTCAGTTGAAATGGCAGAGAAACGAAAAACGGCAGACATCAGGTATCGCTAAATCTCCAAAACTCATCTCATGGTTATCTTCTGTAATTCAGTTCAAATGAACTTGAGCGATATTAACTACAAACTGCATTCTTACAGATATTTAGAGATGTGAGTAATAGATATAACTGTTAAGAGACAGTAGACACCGTAGCTGCAGATAAGGAAATGCTTAAATTTTATGCTGCAGTTATGTTTGTAACAGATCTGTAAACTTTCTTCACAAAATTAGGCCGAACTGAAGTTAATCTACTTATTTAATAAGAATCCTCTCCAAAATAAAAAAATATGTAATTGAGTTGTATTGTGGAAAATAAATTGAAGATAAAAATGTGAAATTCTAAGTGCAACATTCTGTCACAAAGGGTTCATTTGATTTTATTTTTTATAATTTGGGCTGCTTTTTACCTTTGTAATCGTCATATCCTGTGCATCCATGTTCCAAGTGTCAGTTTGCTGTACAGGCCCCTGAGGACAACATATGTAGCGGTTGCACAGAAAGATAGTTGTCTAAACTTACTTACTAAACCTTGTCCTTTTTCTCTTTTTTACAGAATACCGTAAATCCTCTAATACAGGCCCGGGCCTGTATTTGACTCAAGCTCATCAAGCTCCAGGCCTTTATTGGAAGGAGGGCCAGTATTAGAGGCAGGCCTCTATTTCTATTTGAGCAAAATGAACTAATGGTTCGCTGGAGTTTTTGACAATTAAAATTGCGCCCACATTTTCAAAGTTAAACACATTTCTTTTAACAATGGTAGTTTCTGCTTCAGCCCTCTCCCCCTGCGCAGCGGCTGCAAACTCACTGATGCGCCTGCAGCCTCTTGGAGTTCCTGCTGCTCTAAACATTAAAATAATTATTTCATTTTCTGTTCCTCACTTCTGATTACCTTCAGTGGTGTCTGTTTGTTGCAACCAGGTACAAAAACTAACTTGTTTTTATTTGACTATTTTTCTGTCCTGTCTGTTTATTATCTTCCTGCATCTCCTCTCAATCCTAAAGAAAAACTGCTACCTGGGTTCATATATATTCACCTTATGAGTTACCTTTGAACTGCAGTTCTAAAAGAGCTACCAACCGCAAAAACAGTGGAGCGCTCCCTGCTTGGCGGCCGTATCATACAGTCCGAGCAATAAACGCGGAAGTTAGATCCAAACACCCGTTGTGTGGGAGAAGCATCGAAATGAACTGTTTAATCTGCCCATCATTTGTGTTGAGAGATCAGCAGTGTTTGGATCAACAAAGGGTGACTACTTTGACAGTAGAAACTGTATTTATGGCTTATTTTTGTGCATTTAAAATTCAGCCGCCATTGATAGTGGTTAAAAGTTGTTAAACCTGTGCATATGAAACAAAAAACGCCTTTTGTTTATCGATTTATTGTGAAAAAAGGAAGTTGTGCTTACTCCTTTTCCTGTTGGGCACTTGTGATTTCTGTCCATTGACTGCGGAGGTGCTCCGGCGAAAATAGGATCGATTCTATTTTTGCCGGACGCCGGAACAGAGGGCGGCGCACGGCGCCGCACTGCCGGAGCATGGCCGCAGTGTGTGTGTGTGTGTGTGTGTGTGTGTGTGTGTGTGTGTGTGTGTGTGTGCGTGTGCGTGTGTGTATGTGTGCGTGTGTGTGTGTGCGTGTGTGTGTGTGTGTGTGCGTGTGTGTGTGCGTGTGTGTGTGCGTGTGCGTGTGTGTCGGGTCTGACGCAGTGCTGGAAAGTTGTGTGGTTGTGCCATACAGGTGTAAAGGTACAGAAGCAGATAAAGAGGAAGGGAAAGTACAGATACAGGTTAAAAAAGAAGAAAGAACTAAAAAGAAGGGGTGATGGGGTGTGAAGTGGTGATGAACAGGTGATCTTATCATCTACAAAACGGATTTAGCTGCTGTTTAATCCTGACGTGATCAAACCCAGTGAATCCTGATAAGAATAATAAATGTCTTACCTGATGTTGGGCTAAAACAGCCAGTCAGTCACTCCTCGCTCCTTGTAAAGTTTATTGTCCACATAAAGCTTATCCACCGAGATGACAGCTCTCTTCCCATCCTGGATAAACTTTTTACGCAGCGGAAAAAGGACCCGGCGTCGATCCAGAATCTCCTTCGGGAACTGATCATTCACGCTGAAATCTTTCCCTTTGAGCTCTCTTCCGTGACTTTTAACAAGATCCTTCTGCTTAAATTGTTCAAGTTTAGCCACGATGGGACGAGGTCTTCTGCTGTCCACTCGTCTAGCTCCAAGGCGATGTACCCGGTGAAATGTGATGTTTCTAACTTTTTCTTCGGGTATCTTCATTTCTGTCTGGAGAAAGTTCTTTATTGTTTGCTCGCAGTTCTCCGCCCCTCCCGTCTGCTCCGGCAGACCTGCGAACACCAGATTATCCCTCATGCTGCGGGCCTGAAGGTCCAAAACCGTCTCCTTCAGAGTTTTGTTGTCCAGGGTGATCCGCGTCATTCCCTCTTCCAGGGAAGAAACGGACTCCCGCAGAGACGCGTTCTCAGCAGCGAGCCGCTCAACCTGCTCCTAGCTGAACTCCAGAGATGTTCGGAGGTTCTGAAACTCCTGGTGTAGAACCTCGAGCAGATGAAGTCGCCCCTCAAATCCCAGAAGCCGTTTATCAATAGAATCTAATAATTCTAATACGTCCTTCCGGGGAGATGAGGCCTCAGGCGAGTCCTGAGGACGGCTCCTCTTGGTCCCAGCAGGTGCTTCAGCCTCAGCTGCTGATTTCTTCGGACCCATAACGAATAACTCAAAAACTTCGTCAATATAATTTTGTAAACTTTCTGAATTTTCTTCACTTACCTCCAGATTGAGTTAGTTATACTTACCAGATTATTTTTTTCGTTGTCAGTAAATAAATTAGGCGAAAATGTGTCTTAATTGTTTGTGGATGTTTGTTAACGAGCTGCCATCAGCTTCAAACGCTGCCGTGTATCCGGTGATCGGCCGTCAGCGCATGCTCACACCTTGGCAGAATATTTGTGACTTACAATGCTCTGAGGAACACCTGGCATTGCGCTTGTGCAAAGCCACGAATGTCATGTCCTCATAAAAATATAGCTAAATGGCATCTCTTCCAGACACAGAGAGACATCTTCAAATCAACTGTACCACTATCATCAGGCACCCCATCACAGATGACTCAGGAGAGTTCTTCCTTTGAGGACAATGCTGCCGTCGAAAGGAGTATACGCTATATTTTAAAAGAGAAAAAAATTCCTGTATCTCTTCCAGAAAATGTCATCTCACAGAAAATGGATCATCAGAAACAGCTCTTTCCATGTGAAACGTTGTGCCAGGTGTGCCCAGAGCACCCAAAACTTGATGAGGCTGTTCTAATTACCAATAAAGCGAGGATTGTCAGCATGATGGGAGTGATTGAGAGTAAGTTTTAATGAATAAGGTTAAACATCAGTGTGAAATAATCAGTTATAATTGTTCCTATACTAATGTTTTGACATTAACGTGATTTGTCTTTAACAGATGTTTCAACACACCATAGATTGTGTCCTCAGTGCCACATGGTCTACAGATACCAGGAGTGGACAGATGGGCTTCACAACTTTGACAACCACGTTGTTTTGTCTCTTGAACTCTGCCTTTTTCTGAGAGAAAATCTGCAGGTGAGGATCACAAAAATAAAATGTACTCATCTGAAGATTGCTTTAAAAATGTGTTTGTGTCATTATGATATGTTGGTGCCCAAATTTAAATATCTGTGTAATCATAGTCTTCTTCACCCTATTGTCATATTACAGAACCATGTATCCGCTTCAAGGGTCATTGACTCATTGGAGAGCTTAAGAAGAGTGAAGTTTCCTTCTAGGGAGACCGTGTTTCATGCTTATTGCCATTTTGAGGCTTTGACTGACACAGACTACATGTACTCCTGCATAAACTGTGGGTTTCACCCCCCTGTGGTAGTTATGGACTTACACAGACTACATGTACTTCTGCATAAACTGTGGGTTTCACCCCCCTGTGGTAGTTATGGACTTACACAGACTACATGTACTCCTGCATAAACTGTGGGTTTCACCCCCCTGTGGTAGTTATGGACTTACACAGACTACATGTACTTCTGCATAAACTGTGGGTTTCACCCCCCTGTGGTAGTTATGGACTTACACAGACTACATGTACTCCTGCATAAACTGTGGGTTTCACCCCCCTGTGGTAGTTATGGACTTACACAGAAAAGGGGTGTTCAAGTTAGCAGGTAAGTTTAATGTACATTTGTGTTCATAGTTCATTGTGTACATTATGTGCATGTTCTTATGAGTCAATTTATTATAGTGAGTGACCTCAAAGCCCCGGAAGACTTCAATGGTGAACATGACATTGAAGGTTTTTGGAACTCTGTTCACCTGGAAATGATAAGCCGTGGGTTTTTTCCAAGTGAGTGATTGCAAAAACTTTTCGAAAGTCATTCAGTGTTTTAAAGTAATTTAGATTGTAATTAAAAACATGCCATTTTCTGTAGGCGGCGCGAAGAATCCATTTTCAGTTCCACCAAGTTACACGTCCTGGGCACCATGGATCGGGAATGAAACTCGAACAAGTGACATTGTGCTTAACACAGAGTTTCAAAAAGTAGGAATAAGCTCTTCACATGAAGCAAAGCTTAGCAGTGTCACAGAAGACCGTCTGTTGGATGAACTCGCAAAACAAAAGGTAACATTGCTTTTATGTTTTCAGAAGATGTGACATAAAGTTCAGGGGTTGTTCCATTTACATTTTTCCCTAATTACTGTCAGGTTGGAGTGGTAAGAAAATTGTGTAAAGCATGCAACATCGACTCCAAAGGCTCCCGCTTTGATCTCATCACCAGACTGAGGGAGAAGATGAAGAGCAGGCAGACATATGACAAGGTGTTTCAAAGCATATGGGGTGCCTCTGGTAAGCATCACTTAGCGATTATTAGAAGTAGCATTAAAATATGTCATTACAATCACAAACAACTTTTTAAATCTTTGCTTGCAGGAGGATGGTCTGTAATACTATGTCCACATGGCATTGTATACAGTGTTAAATTTAATCTTCGTGCTGAAAGTCCCCGGGATTTTGCTGACCTTCTCCTGTCCTGGAAGCACATGCCAAACGTCTGTGTTTACGATTTTGCGAGGGGTTTGGCGGCACACACCAATTTGCGGGTTCCTGATAAACTGCCATTTCACCCACATGAAGGTCGACTGGCTGAGCCCACTGAGGAAAATGTCAAGGCTGCACAGGATGGAAGCCTGAAAGTGAATCTTCCATGGCTACATGAAAGGATGGATAGTGTAAATGAAGATCCTCATCCTGTCACTGGATCATCTGACCTTTATGTCCTGTATGACAGATTTCATGAGGGAAACACAAAAGATCCCAAGGACATATTACGCAGAATTCAACTTGTCCCAGAGCTGAAAGGCTGGCTGAACAGTCAAGTTGTTGAACAGTTCTTTGCAAACATGAGGAAAAACAATTACTTTTTAAGTAACATGAGTCCATCCACACACGTGTTTCTGATGAGAAATATAACTCATCATTATAACACTGTCACCAACAAGAAACTTCTGGAGAGGCAGCTAAGACATGGTCGACTTGGAAAGCTCAATATCTCATTGTCGGCACTGGGTCAAGCTGTCGTAGGTAAGTACATGCATTGTCTCATGACCAGAACGCCACCATTGTTCACATGTTAGATTTGTTCCTATCTGTGTGTTTATATTGTTTTCTTTGTGTACCTAGCCCCACAGGTGTGCAATAAACCCAGAGAAACCACAGAAACGGTGTTGAACCCAGCACCTTCAATGTCTGGTGACACTGGTAAAATGTCTTATTTTGAATAGTGATTGTCATATATAGGTGAAATAATAATCTTGCATTCATTATCTTGTTGTAAACGAACTTATCTGCTGTTTCAAATGAATTTCCGTCTGTAAACAGTGCTTATTTTTCTTGCATTTGTATGCATTTAATATGCATTCTATTGAGTGTTTTGTCTGAAACCTGTTAAAGTCCCTACAGATCCTCAGGAAGGAGTTGACAACAAGAAAGCCAATAGAAGGTCAACAGATGCAACGTTTCCTGACCTGTGTGGACCACCGTGCGAAGCTCTGACAAAGCCTGAGAACATTTTGGCCAGCCGTTCATCATGGTGTTTCGTACCGCACCCTGGCCAACAACAGCTTGTAAGTTAAAGTTGTCAGATGTCGCAAAGTGCAACGTGCTTATCTGATTTTGTCATCCACAGTCTGACACCTCTCTGTTTTTTTAGCTCAACTATGTTCTGGACATCAGCAGACCCAAAGATGAGCTGATTGTTGAAACATCTTCTGGATGCCTCACGCGGGCAGATGTTTGGACACTGGGTTTAAACAAAGAAATGGAATCGACTGTAAGTATTTTGTTTCCATGAATATGAAATAATAAAGTGTACTGTAATTTTTTTTATGATTTTTTCTGTTTCAGATCGCAAATGGCTGTTTTGAGCTTATCACTAAAATTGTTCAGTCAAAGGTGCTGTATGTTGTATAGGATGATTGTCCAGCTTTAATTTAAAGAGTTGTTGTTTTAAATGTGCTGTTGTTACATTCTAGGGGAAAAGCATTTACATAGGAAATCTGTACAGACTTGGCTTGCACCGTATGGCTGTGATCCATTGCAGTCCTTTCCTGTAAGTGTACCGTCCTTTAAAGAAACAAGCAAGTAATCAAAAAGATGATTTTTTTTATAACTTTGGTGAGAGTTCATATACAGAATACTTCAAAATAAAATTCTGTTTCAGACTGATGCTCAGAGGATGGACATCACAGTTCTCCCTCTCTGGACACCTGCTCATTTCCAGTTGTGTGTAAGTCTTGTTTTGTGACACATACAAACTGTTAGAATGTTGCTATGCGTCTGAGATGTATTCAAGCTTTTATGACGCAGTTTCAAAAGTCTTTGATTGTGATCACTTGCAATGACATCGTTTTCAGGTTTGAAGTTATGGCTAACTGTCTTTTAGGTACTGAAGACACCTAAAAGAGAAATCCTCTTTCTTGACCCATTACATACAAAGGCAGGATTTGGTGGCCAACAATATGTTTCACTTTTGAGGTCACATTTTTATAAGCATTTTTGGTTTGTTCCAGAATTTTCAGGAACCTGTTCAGTGTTCCAGGTTAAGTGCATGATCATGTTCTGCTGATCTTGATTGTTCACACATACAGTACACTCACATGCTTTTTTATAAACTATATCAGCACGTTGCTTCAACATTTTATTCTATTTCTCATCTTCACATTCTGATCAAGTCAGTGATGCTGTCTTTAGATGAGTTTCAAACATAAATAGGGTCTTCAAACGTTTTAGTTGAACATAAAACACCATTAAATATTAGTTTATAAAATATGCCAACCTCAAATTAAAGCTGAAAATGCTTTATTTTGACCAACTGTGAGCATGTGACTGTACTTTTTCATTTTGTTATGCTGTTTTGTTGAGGTCGTGTTCCTAAGACCTGTAGTTACAGTTGGTGCTATGAGCAATAAACATTTCACACCCATCATGATGATGTCTGTTAACTTGTGAATGTAACTGTCTGGAAAAAAAGGAATCTTGCAGTGAAGCTCATTCCCGGGCAGTGGTCAGAAAAAAAGAGCTTTGACTTGAAGGAGGTATTTATATTTTGACTTCTGTTCTATGTTGTGTTAAAGTTTACACTCCTTAACAATATCAACATTTTCTGTTAAGCTCTGGCAAGCTATTTGCACACTGGAGAGAGGAAGCCAGAGCTGTGCTTGAAGGACAACACGTGTCCATTTTCAGACTGAAAAAGCGCAAGTTCCAGGAAGTCAGTCAGGTCAGTATTCACTTTAAACAGTAGTGTAATTACATGGTTAGTGACATTTGAGTAACTGTTAAAAAACTGTTCTGCAACAGAGAAATAGCTGTGTTTGTATCCCCATGTGCCTGACACAGGAGCCAGCAGTTGTTGAAGATCTGCGTCCTGCTGTGCAGTGGGTTGTCCAAAATAAGGCACTTTTCCGTGGACTCGTAACGATGCCAAAATATCTGTCCTTAAATCAAGGGGACCAGCAGAGGGTCTTAAGAGACATGTCAGAGGAAGAAGACACTGGAGCAAGGGACATGTTCCTCTTTGTTTTTCAGTTTGCAGAGGACATGGAGCTCTTTTTGAAAGCATGAGCTGATGAGCAGGGACTAAGGGTCAGTGCTATGTTTGACATGTAATGGACAAATGAAGGCACTGACTGTGTTTCTTTGTTTGTTTAATATGTTGTTGTTGTTGTTTTATTTTTGTATAGTACAAAATTCCAATTAAACTTATTTCAAAATGTTGTTCACTTGATTCTATGCCCATACTTATAAGAAAGGATTACAGAGTAACAGCATTAAATGTAAATGTAACAGCATTATTTTATACTTGTAATTTCAAAATAAAAAGCTTATTGTTGATATTAACAGTAAAGAATTGTAATCCATAATAATTGTATACATTTTAAGCATTAGCACTCTGGGCTCTATCCTGGCCATTTGTGGCCACTTCACTCAAGATTCACTTATTCTTTTTTTTTTTTTTTTTGACTGCTGCACTGCAGTGGACCAAAAGAATGACACGGGTTTGATCTTAAGGATCTAATAGTTGTGTGTGTTGTGCATGACATTGCCACACAAATATGTATTTGCAAGATAGAGTAGAATAAATTATGACGCATCAAATATTACATAGGCTGCAGTGAATTTCTGTTGATATAGACCATTGAGCTTTGAGTTTCCCAGTCAAACTTAGCTTTGAAGCACATGCTAAAAACACTTTTACTCTTGTACACTTCATAACAAGACAGCATAACCAAAATATTAACAAAATTTATATTATTAAAAAATTCAAAGCTGCAGCACATACAGCAACAAACACTGTTAGTAAATGTGTCCTGGAGTTTATGCAGGTGCAGAATGTGCTGCTGCTGTAAATAAGTCTAGCAGCTTCCAGATCACTTATTTTTCTGGAAAGATGGTAGGAAGGGCATCACTGCTCATTTCTACAGTCTCCCAGATCTTGGAATACAATGCCTTTGTACCATGGAACCACTTCACAGTACTAGGAGTCCATTAAAACCTATAAAGAGAGTGATCCTGGAAGAAATGGGGCACACACTAGTGACCTCAACAACTGCAAGACGGCCTTTTCCCCGATGCTCAGATGGGGAACAAAAGGAACTATCATGAAGACATTAGGACTTTATCACCGTTGAACAAAAATAATAGTGCATAATAATCAATGTAGCGTTATGGTTTTATGCTCTTTTATGAAAGAGGAACCATGCTACGTATTAATTCGGAATATTAATTTTAATAAATCAATCACCAAATTTTATATTGTTCAGAAGACTCAAAGGTTGTTTTCATCCATAAACTGCCGATAATATCTGAGTGTCTGTGTTTCAGTTCAATGAGGAAACCAGTTTGACGTTTAAAAGTTTTAATTCTTCAAATTAAACTAATGATTTTGAAATTGACAAACAGGAAATACAATCAACATTAGTAACTTTGTGGGACAATCTCTTTAACAGTTGATATGCTGTTCTGGCTCAAATAGACCTTCTGATGAATTTATGAAGATTGAGAATGTTGTGACGGTGAGAGTGATATGAGCTGGGATGGGTGCGTGAGTGCATCTGATTTTGCTTCAGGAAGAAACAGGTGTCTGAGTGAAAAGTGATGGTTTGAATAAACTTAGGCTTTTAGTTGGAAAAGATGCATCAAACGCTAAACACCGTGTTCTGTCTCACCGAATTCTTGTGGACCCTCTTTCGGATCCGGGCCGTGGAGGATGTTGTGGTTCATCCGGATGACACCGACGCTGACAGGAGACGTAGGTGTCGAGCGGACCGGTCCAGAGTTGCCCCTCGGTACACGTTGATGGTAAAGCGTTTTGTCGACGCGCTTTCTTAAGTTAATTCACTCAGAAATCAAAAGACTCAGTAATGAGTCTGCGTTAGAAGTTGCGATTCAGCTATTCTGCCTGGCGTGGCAGAAACAGCGTGAGAGGAGGGGGGGGGGATTGAGCCCATGGGCTCCGTTCCCCGTTAGCGGTTGTTCACAAGTCCTCTCTCTCTCGTGGCCCAACACGAACTGAACTACAAAAGACTGAAACTTACCAAAAACCTCCCTTCTCAAAGCAAAAACATGTGCGTCATCAAATGTGTCTGGATTTTACTGTGGGAAGGTGTGTGTGGGTGTGTGTGAATGTTTGTGTGCTTGAGTGTGAAGGTCAGTACCAAACATTCAACATTATCTACTTAAGTGTGGATTCATTAATCCATTATAATTACCCCAAAGCATAAGAACCATTCATTTGATTAAACACATTTATAATGAGCAAAATGATAATGGTTATTTTTAACATTAAAATCAAGAAAAAGAAGTTTAAACTTTATGTTTTGACTTGGTCTGGGTACAACTCATGTAAACACATCTTCTGGTAGACTGCAGGTGGTTGATGTTATGGTTTCCTCCCAGACTCGCTGGCGTTCAGGACTTAATCTGTGGGCGAAAGTTCTCAATGACCCAGCTTTGACCTAGCTGCGTCCAGCACCACCTTTGTGATAGAAAACCATATTTCCTCACGTTACACAAGTAACTTACTCACCTGGTTCTAGATGCTGAGATTGTAGCTCAGTAAATGTGCTGCTGCGTGATGCCTGGATAGACGCTGCAGTGTAAACAAGAAAGAGACGGTATAAGATGTCATGCTGTGTTTAGGCAGTTCTCACTCCCCGCCAGGCCCGGCGGCAGCGGGGGAGCCCCCGCCACGGCGGTGCCGCCCGCCCGATGTGTCGGACAAAGTTGAAATTTGCTACACACACCTAACGTTCTTCTGATATACAAACATTAAATTCATATTGTAAGCGTACTTAAAACTTGAAACTAAGTTCATAAAAAGGCTGCAATCGAGCTCCAAAAACCAGTAAAAAAATCTTACATTCTTCATCATCACAGTGAGACTCAACATTGTCTCACTGCATCTGACTCAACGATTCAAAAGTAAAATTAATGGGTTAAAGTTACAGATACTGTATTGTGTATGTAAACAGCTAGCGAGGGTCCGTCCGTGGACCGTGCATGGCAGGAGAGGCAGTTAGCTACAATGCTAATGCAAAAAGTTATTTTGCCAAACTTATAAAGTCTACATACCGTAAATCCTCTAATACAGGCCGGTAACCAATTAAAGGCAGGGTCTCCAATTTTGGCCGGTGTTGGAGTCGGCGGAGGTGAATAAAGGCCGGTCTCTTGTGGCCGGGTGGAATGTGGTAACAAGCAAGTACGGGGGGCGGTTGTGTCATCTTCTCACTTTTGATTTGCCAGCGATAAACCGCGAGGGTAACTTTAACCATGTGGAGACGAAGAGGAGGCTGTGCCAGAGCGTCGGTACTGACACGCGATCGTTCATGTCGGTTCATTTCCTTTAATGTTTTCTGTCTTTTATTTGCGCCTGATGTGTTTCGCTGCTGTGGAGCGGGACACATCACCTTGTCCTCCGATGCACCGATCACTGATGCGGCCGCCAAGCAGGGAGAATTCCGCTGTTTTTGCGGTCGGTAAATCTGCCTCCTGAGCACGGCCACAGTAACAATCAGGTGTCGCCACCTCAAAAAATTATTTAACATGCGATCGTTCATGTCGGTTAATTTCCTTTGATGTTTTCTGTCTTTATTTGTGCCTTATGCGTTTTGCTGTGGAGCGGGGCGCATCACCTTGTCATCCGGTGACGCAACGATCACTGATGCGGCCGGCAAGCAGCGAGCACTCCGCTGTTTTTGCGGTCGGTAGATCTTTTAGAACTGCAGTTCAAAGGTAACTCATAAGGTGAATATATATGAACCCAGGTAGCAGTTTCTCTTTAGGATTGAGAGGGGATGCAGGAAGATAATAAACAGGCAGGACAGAAAAATAGTCAAATAAAAACAAGTTAGTTTTTGTACCTGCTGGTTGCAACAAACAGACACCATTGAAGGTAATCAGAAGTGAGGAACAGAAAATGAAATAATTAGTTTAATGTTTAAAGCAGCAGGAACTCCGAGAGGCTGCAGGCGCATCAGTGAGTTTGCGGCCGCTGCGCAGGGGGAGGGGGGAGAGGGCTGAAGCAGAAACTACCGTTGTTAAAAGAAATGTGTTTAACTTTGAAAATGTGAGCGCAATTTTAATTGTCAAAAACTCCAGCGAACCATTAGTTCATTTTGCTCAAATAGAAATAGAGGCCTGCCTCTAATACTGGCCCTCCTTCCAATAAAGGCCTGGAGCTTGAGTCAAATACAGGCCCGGGGCTGTATTAGAGGATTTACGGTACCTCTGCTTTGGACCCGTTTTTTTTCTTCCTCCTTCCTTCGCTTTCGGAATGCTGATCCCAATGGCTTAGGTGTTCTTTTCATCGTAAAATATTAAAAGTTTAAACGCGACCACAACAGGATGTCCTTTTCCACAGTGCCACCCACACACGTGATCTACGGCACCCTTAACGGTCAAATGCATCGGAGCGGTGGCTCAAGCGGGAGCTCGAAATGCAGCCAGATCATTAGAATTTAAATATTGATGTTTTAATTTCATGTCATTTCAAAGGGGAATTTTGAGTATGTAGAGAGTGCATTTCATATTGCAAACATAAATTTAATACTTTTTTTTTTTTGCGCCCTATCCATCAGATGACGCCCCAGGCGGCTGCCTGTGTCGCCTGTAGGCAAAGCCGGCCCTGATCGATTATATTAATATCCTAGATGTTTATATATGATAGAAGCTTCATATGTTAACTTGTTTGTCTTTCTCAGAATCTAACAAAGCTGATAGCAACAGTGTTAGTTCTAGTATGTAGATTAACCCTACACACGTGTGAACCATGTGCACAAACACATTCAGTGCAAACACACACCTGCACACATGCAGTTAAATGTCTTAAATTAAATTGTGTGCATTAATCTTATAGTACAAGCAGTAGAGTTGTTATCTGTAATATGTTTTAATGGTGGGCTGGTTTGATTAATATGTGTGATAGGCTGGGCGATCAACTGGTTGAGACACCAACCAGTCCTGCTACATCTACATACAAACAGTCCAAAGAACTGGGTGTGAGCGTAGCCTCTGTGTGGCCCTCCACATACGGCCCCTTGAACACCCAGATGGTCTGTTACACATACGTTTCTGGTTCTGATCAAGCGGCCAAGCAGTCAACAATATTTACATACAAACAGTCCCAAGTCAATATATACAGGTGCTGGCCAGTAAATTAGAATATCATCAAAAGGTTGAAAATATTTCAGTAATTCCATTCAAAACGTGAAACTTGTACATTATATTCATGCAATGCACACAGACCAATGTATTTCCGATGTTTATTACGTTTAATTTTGATATTTATAGGTGACAACCAATGAAAACATCAAATCTGGTATCTCAGAAAATTAGAATATTCTAAAGGCCAATGAAAAAATGTTTGTTTCTCTAATGTTGGCCAACTGAAAAGAATGAACATGAAAAGAATGTGCATGTATAGCACTCAATACTTAGTCGGGGCTCCTTTTGCCTCAATAACTGCAGTAATGCGGCGTGGCATGGACTCGATCAGTCTGTGGCACTGCTCAGGTGTTATGAGAGCCCAGGTTGCTCTGATAGTCGTCTTCAGCTCCTCTGCATTGTTGGGTCTAGCGTATTGCATCCTCCGCTTCACAATACCCCATAGATTTTCTATGGGGTTAAGGTCAGGCGAGTTTGCTGGCCAATCAAGGACAGGGATACCATGGTCCTTGAACCAGGTGCTGGTGGTTTTGGCACTTTGTGCAGGTGCCAAGTCCTGTTGAAAGGTGAAGTCTGCATCCCCATAAAGTTGGTCAGCAGCAGGAAGCATGAAGTGCTCTAAAACTTCCTGGTAGACGGCTGCATTGACCCTGGACCTCAGGAAACAGAGTGGGCCAACACCGGCAGATGACATGGCACCCCACACCATCACTGACGGTGGAAACTTTACACTGGACCTCATGCAACGTGGATTCTGTGCTTCTCCGCTCTTCCTCCAGACTCTGGGTCCTTGATTTCCAAAGGAAATGCAGAACTTGCTTTCATCAGAAAACATAACTTTGGACCACTCAGCATCAGTCCAGTCCTTTTTGTCCTTGGCCCAGGCGAGACGCTTCTTGCGCTGTTTCTTGTTCAAGAGTGGCTTGACACACGGAATGCGACACCTGAATCCCATGTCTTTCATGAGTCTCCTCGTGGTGGTTCTTGAAGCGCTGACTCCAGCTGCAGTCCACTCTTTGTGGATCTCCCCCACATTTTTGAATGGGTTTGTCGTCACAATTCTCTGCAGGGTGCGGTTATCCCTAGAGCTTGTACACTTTTTTCTACCACATTTTTTCCGTCCCTTCGCCTGTCTGTTAATGTGCTTGGACACAGAGCTCTGCGAACAGCCAGCTTCTTTAGCAATCACCTTTTGTGTCTTGCCCTCCTTGTGCAAGGTGTCAATGATTGTCTTTTGGACAGCTGTTAAGTCATAAGTCTTCCCCATGATTGTGGTGCCTTCAAAACAAGACTGAGGGACCTTTTAAAGGCCTTTGCAGGTGTTTTGAGTAAATCAGCTGATTAGAGTGGCAGCAGGTGTCTTCTATATTCAGCCTTTTCAGAATATTCTAATTTTTTTAGATACCAAATTTGGAGTTTTCATTAGTTGTCACTTATGAATATCAAATTTAAATGTAATGAACATTGGAAATACATTGGTCTGTGTGCATTGCATGAATATAATGTAAAAGTTTCACGTTTTGAATGGAATTACTGAAATATTTTCAACCTTTTGATGATATTCTAATTTACTGGCCAGCACCTGTACGTCTGTGGTACCAAGAACTGGGTGTGAGTGTAGCCTCATTGTCGTCCCCACAACATGATGAACACAGGCTTTAAAAACTCTGGACATCTCCTGTGTTTTAGATTCATCATATATTTCCCCCAGTTTCAGCTGAGTGTCTCATTTAGTAACAAAACATGATTGTGAACTCTCTCTCAAGTCAAGTTTATTATATAGCCCATTTCATACACAAAACGGTAGCCCAATGTGCTTCACATAGTTAAAACAATCACAAGTGAAATGAAATAGTTAAAATGTCACATCATGTTGTGTAAAATAAAATCAAAGAATACTGACACAGAACATAGCACACAAAAATAAAAGCATATTAAGTAAAATTATTGGTAGTGCTTTCTTTTACAGTCCTCTAATTACTTAGTAAGTTAGTGAATTGTTTCTGAGTTCTTAAATTGTTATTACCATGTAACTCAGGTTCAATTCTAGTTTTTATCTTTATTAATCATTCCTAGTATATACTGCTTTACACAGTAACTACACCAGGGTTTCCCTTACATAGGCGTAGCCGTGGCGGCCCGCCACGGCTGAAATCCCACCGCCACACCTACAAGATCCCAAGTTTTGATTTTTTTTTTTAGCTGTTTCCCGAGGAAGCAGCGGGAACTACTATGTTGTCGCTTGTGATCACAGCCGGCAGGCAGCAAGGAGGAGCAGGCAGGGCAGGGTGAAGTTACAGCATAAAGGTAGCAGTGGATATAATGCTTTTTGGTTTACATGTTTCAATAGCATTAAGATAAATGAGCGTTGACGATCTTGACAGGGTTTCCTCTCCCCACCAGGATAAGCATCACTTATTCATGTAAAATTTCTTTATTTTTTCATGTCTGACTTTAACCGCATCTAATACTGTATTACGGCGTGAGCGCAACAGCGACAACTTAAGATCGATGTGTGAGCAGCCTGAGAGGTCGGGTGTTTTCATCTGAACCCTTAAAACCTCCAGCAGGCTACGCTGCACTATTGGCGTGTTAGCGCGTGGCGCTAACAACTTGACATGTCTCGGAGGAAGCGTAAAAACATGTTGAACGCTTCTTCTGAAGCGGGAAAATAACACCTCTTCAAGCAGAGCACGACGTCGCCTCAGCTCGTTCACCCTCTGCCGAGCCGGACTGAGCTCGATAACATTGACCTAGCACAGCCACTGGGTCGTTGGAGCTGCCCCGTGACTGCCTGATGGAAAACCAGCGGGTTTCATCAGACTCGTAAAGTTTCTTGTTTTTGCTGGGGACCCCCTGTATTTTACCGCTCCCTCCTGCAGTCTTCCCCTATTAACATTTAAAATGATTCTGTAAATTCCGTGTCTCAATAGAAAAAATCTCTGCCTCTGCCAGCTGCAGTAAATGTAGTCTCCAAATAATAAATAAGAGGTGCATTCATCTGTGTATCTCCTTTGATCCGCATTAGTGATGTTCTCAGCACCAGAACGGTGAAGCAAAGAAACAGATTCCTGAGTTTGTTATAATTTTATTTATTAGGTGCATCTAATCTGTTCTATTTTTCGCTGAAATGAGATCAAATCAGTGCTTCTATGGGTTGTCTCCACTCTTCACTAGACAATTTTACTTTATTTAGACGTGCGGAGAAAAAAACCTACAAGATGCGGAAAAAAGGATAAACCTCCAACCGTCATATTGTCAGCAATAAATGCAGCAAAACTTAACTTTCATGACCCAAAAAAAAAAAAACTCATAAAAATTATTCAGTACATCAGGAGAGCAGGAACAAGTCTTATTTCTGATTTTACATTTTTTACTTCAATTCAAACTATTTAGACTTTTGTGTTTTCATCACATTTAGCTTGTATTTTATTTAACATATCAGTTTTACAGGTTAGCTGTTCCTGTGCGCTTAAAAAGTTATGTTACTAACCTTCTAAAAAAATTACCAAATCATTCACATGAAGTAGATTTGTTATTCATTATCTGAAAGTATCTCATTAGTTTAAAAAACTAAATATGTTTTGTTTAATTTGGTTTTCAGAATGTCACTAGTTTACTTATACTTTTAAAGTATATATAGTGATGTAATGAAATACAGAGAAATCAACTTGTGAGTACAATGCATGTTAATATAGTAAGTATAGCATGTTTAACATAAGCACATTCACACATGGAAAGTATCAATGTAAATAAATCATATGGCAGTAACTCTGCTGTACTTTCATTGTGTAAAAGTAGCTCACGGGCCAAAAAATGTTGGAGACCCCTGCAATAGATCATTCAGCCCTAGTGGATGCTTAGATGATTGTTTAAAGATTTCTTTCAGCTAAATCTTCGTCCACAGAGCTCACAAGCAAAAGGCTTCTGTCCTTTATGGACTCTTTTGTGACCGTTTAAACTGATCTTTTGGGTAAATCTTTTCCACCGAACTCACAGGCGAAAAGCCAGTGTGGACTCTCATGTGACTGTTTAAATGTGTCTTTCGGCTAAATCTTTTTACACAGAGCTCACAAGCAAAAGGCTTCTGTCCAGTGTGGACTCTCATGTGTCTGTTTAAATGTGTCTTTAAGCTAAATTTCTTTCCACAAAGCTCACAAGGAAAGGGCTTCTCTCCTGTGTGGACTTTCATGTGTGTGTTTAATCTTCCCTTTTCACTAAATCTATTACCACAGAGCTCACAGGCGAAAGGCTTCTCTCCAGTGTGGACTCTCATGTGTGTGTTTAAATGTGTCTTTTGGCTAAATCTCGTTCCACATAGCTCACAAGGAAAGGGCTTATCTCCTGTGTGGACTCTCATGTGACTGTTTAAATTAGTCTTTTGGCTAAATCGCGTTCCACAGAGCTCACACGGAAAGGGCTTATCTCCTGTGTGGACTCTCATGTGACTGTTTAAATGTGTCTTTAAGCTAAATTTCTTTCCACAAAGCTCACAAGGAAAGGGCTTATCTCCTGTGTGGACTTTCATGTGTGTGTTTAAACTTCCCTTTTCACTAAATCTATTACCACAGAGCTCACAGGCGAAAGGCTTCTCTCCAGTGTGGACTCTCATGTGTGTGTTTAAAGTTCCCTTTTTACTAAATCTATTACCACAGAGCTCACAGGCGAAAGGCTTCTCTCCAGTGTGGACTCTCATGTGTGTATTTAAATGTGTCTTTTGGCTAAATCTCGTTCCACAGAGCTCACAAGGAAAGGGCTTATCTCCTGTGTGGACTCTCATGTGACTGTTTAAATTAGACTTTTGGCTAAATCGCGTTCCACAGAGCTCACAAGGAAAGGGCTTATCTCCTGCGTGGACTCTCATGTGACTGTTTAAATGTGTCTTTCGGCTAAATCTCTTTCCACAGAGCTCACAAGGAAAGGGCTTCTCTCCTGTGTGAACGCTCGTGTGTTTGTTTAAACTTCCCTTTTCACTAAATCTATTACCACAGAGCTCACAAGCAAAAGGCTTCTGTCCTGTGTGGACTCTCATGTGTTTGTTTAAACTTCCCTTTTGACTAAATCTTTGTCCACAGAGCTCACAAGGAAAGGGCTTCTCTCCAGTGTGGACTCTCATGTGTGTGTTTAATGTTGTCTTTTGGCTAAATCTCGTTCCACAGAGCTCACAAGGAAAGGGCTTATCTCCTGCGTGGACTTTCATGTGACTGTTTAAATGTGTCTTTTGGCTAAATCTCGTTCCACAGAGCTCACAAGGAAAGGGCTTATCTCCTGCGTGGACTTTCATGTGACTTGTTAAATGTGTCTTTCGGCTAAATCTCGTTCCACAGAGCTCACAAGGAAAAGGCTTCTCTCCTGTGTGGACGCTCATGTGTGTGGTTAAATTAGTCTTTTGGTGAAACCTTTGTCCACAGTGCTCACAGGCAAAATGTTTCTGCTTTGTCTGGACTCTCGTGTGTTTGTTTAAATGTGTTTTCTGGCTAAAGGATTGAAACCTGGCAGCATCAGTCTCCTTATTCAAATGGAGATGCTCTCCCTCCATACTAGACCAGAGTTTCTCCTGTTCCTCCTTTTTGTGGAGAAAATCTAGGTGCTGGTGGTTGACACAAGCACTCTGTTCTTCTGAAGCTTCTTATTTAACCAGAACCACCTGTTGAAAATCTGTAGGAAACACAGAAACATATTATGTGAATGACAGACAGCTGTAACTGTGTTTTCACACATATAACAGTTGTATTATTTCTTTAAACTGACAGTAGAATGAAATGCATTTACAACTGGAAACTGAACTTTGAGCCTCTATAAATCATATGAGCCTTAACCCTCAGGCTTCACTTTAATTTTCATACAAGAGTCATTAGAGGACAAAAACGTCCGCTTGTAAAAGTGGCTATAAAAAATGTATACATTCATGTTTTTTTTTACTTTCTTTTCATAGATCTGTTGAACAACTTCAGCCCTGCTCAAACATAAAAAAATTCAATCATTTTGAGGCTTTTAACCCCTGAAATGCCAGTTTGAATACTCAAAAGTCATTGATGTAAATTATAAAGAAAAAAAAACAGCACCGAGTTATTTTCTAAAAAAACTGGTAACGCAACTGTTTCTGTGTTTTAAAAAGAACGACAGCATGGAATTAGCCTTGGATATGTCAAGAGTCTAGCAAAATATCACATTTTATGCTTTTTTAGTTTTTGTGTAGCAGCAGATTTAAAATTTACCACCCTCTTGTGCCTGTTATGGACAAAAACGTCCCATTGACTTCAATGCAGACCACAGTTTTTGATCCTGCATTATCTGCAGCAAATATTCATGCTTTCTGTGATGTAATGGTTTCATTTTGGACAAAAGTAGTCAAATTTATGATTTTTACTGTTCACCACCAAATTCAGTCATTTCTTCATATGTTGCCCAGGCGAGAAAGTTTACACATTTCTATAGATCTTCTGCTGTTTTTATTGAAGTCAGAAGCTCAGCATGTAAACAAAACACAGTTTCACTCTCCTACTGAACATCAAAGGGTAGAAAACAAAAACAATATGTTTATGCACCTGGCTGGAGCTCAGGCACATCCAAACTCTTTGTAGTTCAGTTTGTTATGAAAGGGCAGAAGTGTGAATGCATGCATGTGAAGTGACTCCTTGGAGCTCTTCGGTCATCTCCAAAATGACACGTTTTCCCTGGCCGACCTCTGCAGCCTCACCAGCAGCTTTCCCTGTGTTAACCTGACACTTGCAGGCATAGGAAGTGGCAACATCAGCAGTGACCCAGAGTTTCAATCCGTACTTTGCTGGTTTACTTGGCATATGTTGGCGAAACTTGCACCTGCCTCTGAAAGGGACAAGCTGCTCATCAGCACACACATCTAACCCAGTGTTGAAAAGCATTTGGAGGCGATGGGTCCACATGTCCCAAATCGAGCGGATAGGGTCCAGCTTGTCCTGCCTGAGACGGGAAGGCCTGTTCAGCTCATCATCAAACCGGAGGGTGGAGTTGATCATCTTGAATTTGGTGTGACTCATGGTGGCCAGGAAGATTGCACGTCTACAGTGGTCATCCCAAAGGCTGCAGGTGGATTCCCCTTTGGACTGGTACACACCAGCCAAAATCAGGAGCCCAATGTATGCTCTCACTGCGATGTCATCAATATCCCACCAGTTCTTCACCACACGTCTTCCATTTAGATTTGTCATGTTGACGATGATTTCAGTCATTTCTGGAGTAAAGAATAAATCAAAGGAGGATACCACATCGTAAATACGTGTGATGGTGTAACGTGTTGGCCCAGGATTCAAACATCTTGCAGCAGGAACATAGTGGGAAGTTTCTGCGTTAGTAGGAAACCAGACTTGCCCACTTTTAGAAATCCATCCTGGAGCAGGATCCGTTGTCCTCCCTTCTCTTTCACTGGACAGGTCAGGAGAAGAAGTCAAGGAAACAGAATGGTCTGACTCCACCTCAAAGTCCACTGAAGATGTTTCACTCTCCTCATTTTCTCCAGGAGTATCAGGCTGCAGGAGCTGATCCAGAACTTGTTCCACAGAGAGATGCCTCTTCATTTAGCTCCGTGGCTTTCACAGAAGTGAAATGACCAGATAACCAGACTACAAGGAGTTTGAATGTGGCAGGTGCATAAACATACTAATTGTATATTGACTAACACTTTGATGGATTAGCTTTATTAAAATAGAGTTCTTTGATTAATCAAAAGGAAAGAATTCATTCTTCTTTCTTCTGTCTTCATGCTGGAATGTAAACAGTTTAGAAACGACTGTATGACCTTCGGGCTGTTTCAGACACACTGACACTGTGTCAAAAGGAAACAGCTGTTAGGGTAGAAATGGCTCCTTCATCACGGTACACAGCTTAGCAACGTTCCTGAGATGGAAGAAGGAAGAGCCAACAAGAGAACTGGCATGAGAATCCAGGGTGAAAGCTGGGTCAAAGGTCACGCCAAGATTCCTGACAGAGGGTTTGGTGTGAGAAGCAAGCTGACCAAGAGAGTCTCTGACTTTGGGAACCAGCTTCTCTGGGGCACAGATGAAGATCTCAGTCTTATCTTCATTCAGCTGTAGAAAGCTCCCACCATCCAGGTTTTAATGGAGTCTAAGCAGGAGAGTAACAGCTGCAGCGTAGACATCTCATGGGGCTTAAAGGAGATGTACAGTTGGATGTCATCCGTGTGAAGACGCTAGGAGACTCCTTTAAATGAGCTCAGAAGGTGCTGTAAAGGAAGCAGATAGAGCAGGGCCGTGCAGAGACCTTTGAAGGGGCGGGTGCTCAAAGTTAAAAAAGGGGCACATATACAGGGTTTTCCTGTATTCAAATTTGCGTGGCGGCCGCCTCCAGCTATTTTTGTGCCGCCCCAGCCTGATTTCACTCTGCCCCCAGCTATATGGATGTTACTGTAACTGCAGTTGCAGCGTTGCGCCACTACAGGGCGCTGTACCAGCAGCGGTGCACCGAAAAGCGCTAAAACCGCTGCAGAAAAAGATCAAAATGTGCTTTTCTCGCTAGTTGGTACATACCTATGGTTGGTGCTATTAACGTCCTGATTTCCCCCAGCTCTTCCATATCGGAGCAGGGCTGTAACTGTCTGTGCGTGTCTGTCTATTTTTAAACGTAGCACGGGTGCAACATCTTTGAATTACTATTTTCCCCAGAACTTTGTTGAACAAAAGTAAGTTACGTGTAAGAAAATGCTTTTTACTGGCGCACAGTGTGGTCATCTGGATGCAGTGGAGGAAAATAAAGGAACCAACAAAGGCACAAAGGCAGAACCGGTCCAAACTTTGGGATCAAAAGTGCAGCTACACGCAGATTAGCTAATGCTAAAGCTAACAGTTAGCAGTCTCGCGATCAAGTGGCGCACAGAAAAATATATGATGATGATGATCGTAAAACTATGAAAGACTAAACTCTACAAGCGGATGAAAAGTCCCCACCATCCTGTTTATTCTGCATCCTGCAGCACTACGGATCAGAACCGCTGCAGATACGGGTCACATTACAGCTACGAGACTACGGCAAGCCGTTGTAGTATATAATTCACAAACGCTTCTATCTTTGAACATAATTTGAACTGGATTATTGCTAACCCGTACATAATAGACATGCCACCATTACATTGTTAGCAGCAGAAATTAAATGTTATTACCATTTCCAACACAAGTGCATGTTAATGAAATGCATTATATTTGACCGCATATATTTATGTGTTATTATGACTAAGATGAGTGTTATTAATACAAACCTAAGATGTTACTGAAATGTAGGTCAAATATATAAAATATTTTAACTATAAATATCAGATGGGAAAAAGGAACTAAACACCAATCTGATGCATATTATTGAGCCTTTCATAATAAGAGTCTGTTATTTCAGCCTGATCATTTTGTTGTTTTATTTCATATTTTTTAGCAGCAAACCAGTTTTGTTTCACTTGAAACATTGTCAAATGGAATATTCTATTAATCGCCAGAAGCTTAGATTAGAACACTTAACGAAAACATATTTAGCCTTTAAAAAAGTGAGGCAGTTGAATGCACAGAGTACGCATGTGCTGGCGCACGGTCAGGATGGTACCACCTCTGCCTCAGTCTGAGCCAGGAAAAACCCTGATATAGAGCAAAGTTTTTAATAGAGCTGCACAATATATCGAAAAATTATCATCATCGCGATAACAGGACGTGCGATAGGCCCATCGCAAAGCACGTCAAAAACGGCGATAAATGTTTGGTTCAAACATTTCCATCCGTGTCATACATCACCTTTTTGCAAACCAGCTCTGTTTTTTACGCGGAAGTATTATTTGACCAATCAAATGTAGCCCTTCTGATATGCGGCCAATCAGATGGGTCCGTTCACGTAATACGCTCGCCCCCTACGTAGACCCTTACCCAAAAATTACACTATCTCCGCTCTGCTCCGCCCCCGCTTTCCGCTGCCGCTCGCTGGCTCAGATTATCGAACGCACTTTGTGCTGAGGTTTCTGGAATCAGCTCTACTTTCAAACATGAACGTGAGTCCGCTCGGTGTCGTTAAGCAGCTGATAATAACCGGGTTGACTCCGACACGTGCCGGTGAACCAACTCACCCACCCCCCAGGCTCTGGTTAGCTTCCAGCTAAAAGGCTACAGCACTCTCCTCCCAGTCCCACCCTGCTAAAGAGGGCCTGGAAAAGTTCCCCCACACATCAAAGTGATTTTTCATTGATGAGCTTTTATAATCTTGTTAATCAGGATAGTTGATTTGCTGCTGCAAATAAACTGTCAGTCAGAAGCTCTGCTAGCCGGTTATCTTAGAGGAGCTAGTTCAATTTGTTAGCTTGTTATCAGAATCATAGTTTCATCATCTGAGCTGCTTTTTAAGATCTAGGTAAACTTGTTCAATTTGGGGTTAAAACAAACGTTTTCACATATTTTCCATGTAGTTTTTTTTGCCAGTTCCTCTTCTGAAAGGTAGACAATTGTTTTTCTCTTTCCCTCAGAAAATCTTAATATTCTCCTAGTTTGGCCCAGCACAGTTCACTTCCCAATAGCAGCAACAGCCTTATATCATAACCACATAAGTGGAGAAAATATTCAGTAGCAATGAGAGAATGTGCTGTTGCATTTAAGTGATGTTAACTATTATTTAACATTTAAACTTATTTTCTGATTTTTTATTTATTTTATTTATTTATTTTTATTTATTCAAAAACCCTGGTAAGGGATGTTTTTCTGTATTTGGAGCATCAGAAAAAGTTTTATGGTGGAGGTGATGTTTTAAAGTCACTGAGAAACTGCATGCATGCAGTTTGTTGTTTTGCTGCTAATATAGTAGCAGGTGCAGCTGCTAATACAGTAGCAGGTGCACCTGCTAATACAGTAGCGGGTACAGCTGCTAATACAGTAGCAGGTGCAGCTGCATGTTTTTGCAGTAAAAATGTTATGTTGTAATGGAATTCATGCATTAGTTTTTGTTTGCTTTGAACCCTGAGCAGACGTCACACGCCAGACGGCATCAACACTGCATTCTTTAGTATTTGTTCATTTATCGCGAGTAAAATCGATATCGCAATATTAAGCACTGTTATCGAATATCGCAGGTTTTCCTAACATCGTGCAGCCCTAGTTTTTAAACAGATTCACGATCCAACAAGTTAAAAAGTTCAGATAATGAGACCCTTGGTTTCAAACAACATAATGTAAACTAGGAAAAGATGTCATTAATTAAGGTAACGTTATTTCATAAACAGTTGTCAGGGTTTCCCTTACATAGGCGTAGCCGTGGCGGCCCGCCACGCCTACAATATCCCAAGTTTTATTTATTTATTTTTTTTAGCTGTTTCCCGAGGAAGCAGCGGGAACTACTATGTTGTCGCTTGTGATCACAGCCGGCAGGCAGCAAGGAGGAGCAGGCAGGGCAGGGTGAAGTTACAGCATAAAGGTAGCAGTGGATATAATGCTTTTTGGTTTACGTTTCAATAGCATTAAGATAAATGAGCGTTGACGATCTTGACAGGATTTCCTCTCCCCACCAGGATAAGCATCACTTATTCATGTAAAATTTATTTATTTTTTCATGTCTGACTTTAACCGCATCTAATACTGTATTACGATGTGAGCGCAACAGCGACAACTTAAGATCGATGTGTGAGCAGCCTGAGAGGTCGGGTGTTTCATCTGAACCCTTAAAACCTCCAGCAGGCTACGCTGCACTATTGACGTGTTAGCGCGCGGCGCTAACAACTTAGCGACGTGACATGTCTCGGAGAAAGCGTAAAAACACGTTGAACGCTTCTTCTGAAGCGGGAAAATAACACCTCTTCTTAAGCAGAGCACGACGTCGCCTCGACTGAGCTCGATAACATTGACCCAGCACAGCCACTGGGTCGTTGGAGCTGCCCCGTGACTGCCTGATGGAAAACCAGCGGGTTTCATCAGGCTCGTAAAGTTTGTTTTTGCTGGGGACCCCCTGTATTTTACCGCTCCCTCCTGCAGTCTTCCCCTATTAACATTTAAAATGATTCTGTAAATTCCGTGTATCAATAGAAAAAATCTCTGCCTCTGCCAGCCGCAGTAAATGTAGTCTCCAAATAATAAATAAGAGGTGCATTCATCTGTGGATCTCCTTTGATCTGCATTAGTGATGTTCTCAGCACCAGAACAGTGAAGCAAAGAAACAGATTCCTGAGTTTGTTATAATTTTATTTATTAGGTGCATCTAACCTGTTCTATTTTTCTCTGAAATTAGATCAAATCAGTGCTTCTATGGGTTGTCTCCACTCTGCACTAGAAAATTTTACTTTATTGAAGCCCTTTTCAGACAGACATTCTGGAACATTTGTGGACAATTCAATCCGGTTTTTAACCGGAACTGTGTTTTCAGACACACCACTTTTGTACCGGAACTTGTCCTTTCGGCTGCGTTCACACAGCAGGGAAAAGTTCCAGATGTCTGACGGCGGCGGGGGGTGGGGTGGGAGGGGGGAATCGGACTTATGTTAAGAAGAAGAAGAAGAAAATATCATTTCTATAGCGCCTCTCAAGATAAAAATCACGAGGCGCTTAAGCATAATTCTGCGCACACGAAGACGCATAAGAGACCTGGATGATGAAGCTCAATGGTTAAAGGACTCACTGAAGCGGTGTGAAGCGCTCCGTCGCGCGTCTAGACGGTACCGTAGGAGGCGAGCTGCCGTGGTTCGCCGCATGCTACAGCAGCGAGCTATCTAGGTGCGCACAGCGTCCCCCGGTCCCCTCCTCCTCCCCCTCCCTCCCTCTTGTCCGGAACTTTACCTCACCAGTCTGAAGCAGCCACCCTGTTCGTAACAAGTCCGGACCTGTTACTAGGGGCTTCGTCCGGATAAATTCCGGAACACGTTATCCGGATGTTTGTATTCAGACAGAAAGGTCTTACGGACAGATTCCGGAACATTTCCGTTTTTCATGGCCTGTCTGAAGGGGGCTTTAGAGACGTGTCATAATTTCAGAGTGCTCTTAAAGTTGCAGTTTGACTTGCTCTCATGTTTCCATAAGACCACCACCCACTCGACTAGGACATTAAATTCACTGAGCTGCATGCTGACTTAAGGTTGGTTTATGCTTGACGCGTCCGCGAGGTCCGCACGGCTCCGCGCGGAAAAGTTGCGTCATTTTGCGTCATTTTAACAACCACGCCCCTCCACCGCGCCTCCGCACGGCCCAAGATTTCCGCAACGCGCACCTCGAAAAATTTCTAACCACGCGGACGGTCGGACGCGGAAAAACATGGCGGACCGGCACGACAGAGGTTCGTAAATACAGACATTTGTATGATTCAGCTCTCAAAGATCACCGTGATCAACATGTTGTTAATAATTCTCGGAGAGAAATAGCTCGCACTGTCGGAAAAGACGAGGACGCTGTTAAAAATGCTGAAATACCATGTTGTAAACAGTAATTTCTACTTCTACTACGGTGTAGTGTTGGATGTTTGCCGTAGAGCTCCATGCTGCCCCGTTCAGTTTGGGAGAATATTGGTTCACCGCAGAGACGAGCCGCACAAACCATAAACGCTGTGAGTTGTGAAGCGCGTTCCAGCCGCGAGCCGCATCACTGCGCGGAAAGTGAATGCGTCAAGCATAAACCAAGCTTTAGCGACTGCTCTCTGGAGTCACATGTGGAGGCTGTAGTAAGCATTTTGTTTTTGTCTTTAGCGCTGCAGACCATTTATTGCAGCACGGATATACTGAATAGTTTCACAACTTTTAAATCAAAAAGATAATCAGTCCATCGCCATTCTCCTTCCCGGCACCTCCGTTCTGCTGACTCCAACCTCCTTTCCCCTTTCAGAACAAAACATGGCACCATGGGGGATCGAGCCTTTGCAGCCGCTGCCCCCACACTTTGGAACTCTCTCCCACTAAACATCAGGAACGCCGTCTCTCTTTCTACTTTTAAGTCACTGCTTAAAACCCACTTCTTTAAATTGGCCTTCTCTTAAGATCAACCCAGCATCCCCCAGTCTGTTTACTATGTTTCATGTTGTTTTATTATGTGTTTATTGCATTTTTTGTGAAGCCTGACTGACCTTAAAACCACTAGACAAGTTTAATGTATTATTATTATTATTATTATTATCACTTACAACTGCAGAAGGCAAAGTGTGTCCCCACTCCCTGTTCAGCCATTTTCCTGCACCAGATCTGGCGTTTACAGATGTGTCACACCTGTGTGAATAACACAGCTGTCTAAGAGAAAAACCACTTCTCCAACTCATTTACTTATTTACATATCTGAAAGGTGGCAGCCCTACCTGTGTCCATGCTGTCCAGGTCCAGGTGGTGAAGAACACACGATGAATCAGTCCCAGCTGATGGATGATCCTGAAGTGGTAGCAGGTTTTCTTTAGCCGTGTTTAGCTAACAGCTGCAATAGAAACAAAGCAGGAGAGCTGATTAAGATGCTGCTTCAGAACAACGCAGGAGATTAAAGATCCAACGCTTTGGTTCTGATCAGCTGAGGACAGATCCAGTCTGGAAAAGAGGACCTTTGCTCACCAGAGTTCTCTTCTGTTCTTCCAGCTACAGACTAAATAGAAGATGGATGCTCTACAAAAATACTAACAACGGTTTCTCCTGTTTAGTTCTGTCTGGTGGCTCACTAAAAGTCAAATCCAGCATGGCAGCATCTCATGGAGCCAACAAGGAAAGCAAGGTGTGATATCAGCAGAGGGCTGGAAGCTGAAAAGGTAAAGAACAACACAACCTGAGGGTTCCTCGTCTCCAGCTGAGCCAAGAGCACTAAAGGGTTTCGTTTAGAGTTTACATGAAGAAGTAGTGAGTTTATTTATTTATTTATTCTTTATTTAACCAGGAAGGTCCCATTGAGATCACAAACCTTACTTTCAAGGGAGTCCTGGCCAAGAGGCAGCTCCACGGACGTGTAATGTACATGAAAACACAGGAATCCCAGCTAAATGAACTTTAGGTGTGTTTTAGCAGAATGCTATTGTGTTTTCAGTATTATTATTGATTACTAAGTCATTATATTATACATTTACTCAGTAGAATGTGTCTTTCTAAAGTTGTATTTATTTTTATTTACATGTAAATATGCATCCCTGAAAAACATCTGCTTAACGAATGCTCTGAAACATCAGCTGGCATTTCTTTTTAGCCTGTTTTGTCTATTTAATACTTGCTACTTGGTTCATTTTCATGCTGAATGCTGTTGAGTAAACTTCTGTCTGTAGCAAGGAGCTGCTGTTGTGTGTGTGCGCGCGCGCGCCTGTTCTAGGGATCTCTTTATTAAAACTATTTAACGGTAATAAAATAGTTTGTTGATTTTAAACAGGGAAAACCCCACTCGCGATTTAGCGATAGCATGATGCTAACTCCATTAGGCCGCTAGCGTGCTTTCCCTCACAAAGAAACGGTGTCCACTCACCAAGTGAACTGCTCCACTCACTAAAGACGGTAAATGTTCCAGATCCAACTACGTTACTGACTGTACTACCGACTACTGACTACCAAAACTCACCAAGTCCACCGAGTTATCTCAGAACAGCACAGCTTCTAGGTCGTGTCTCGATGGCTTCCAAAGTTGAACCGTTCAAAACAATAGTGATGTGTCGATTACGAACGAAGCGGCTCTAAGAGCCGGCTCTTTGAAGTGAACGACTGGAGCCGGTGTTGTGCCATAAATCGACTCGCTGCCAAAAAATGATCAGCCACCGCGGGATCGCGCACGGTTAGGGTAATTGCATTTCTAGACAAAATTCCCCAGGATTTTGCCCTAAAACTCAGCATATCTAGCAATATGGACATTCAGAAAGCAGAGATAACCTCTTCCAGTACTTAAACAGATGTTTATCGCGGATATTAGTTTTTCCAGTTCGGAAGTTGTTTTAAGTGTTGCTATTTGTCTTAAACGTTCACATTGAGGATATATTAATCCTTTTTGCAATATTTGCGATTGAAAGATGGTTTGAGCGATTCAATCACTTTTTGGCAAGTAAAATGCCATTTTAGTTGTCTACAATTAAATCATCAATAAAGAATTTAAAGATATTTTGAAGCATTTCTTATAGGTAAACAGGAGGGTGTAGTCTCTATTTGACAAGTGACAATCTTAATTTTATGTGCTGAAGTGCTTTTATCTTGTTACTTTTAAATAGAGCAAAGTAATGTATAGATAGTAACCTACACAGTGTCATTAAAGCCAAAGCTTGATCAGTTTAAATACTATTTTTCAAGTAAAAATGTGCCCCAAACTAGTTAACTGTGGCTCCATGTCAAGTGGACTAAAGAAAGGAAGGGGAAAAAACCAAATCGCTGGAGAATTGTTTATTTACATTAATACGACGTTTACATTCAATACAGGGCGCCATTTTACACTGTTTATTTATTTTTTAGTATCAAGGCTGTAACATAAAGAAAGCCAGTTCTTACCACAAACCATCTTTCAATCGCAAATATTGCAAAAAGGATTAATATATCCTCATTGTGAACTTTTAAGTTAAATAGCAACACTTAAAACAACTTCCGAACTGGAAAAACTAATATCCGCGATACACATCTGTTTAAGTACTGGAAGAGGTTATCTCTGCTTTCTGAATGTCCATATTGCTAGATATGCTGAGTTTTAGGGCAAAATGCCGGGGAATTTCGTCTAGAAATGCAATTACCCTAACCGTGCGCGATCCCGCGGTGGCTGATCATTTTTTGGCAGCGAGTCGATTTATGGCACAACACCAACTCGTCATTGGGAGCCGTCCCCTCCCCCCTCCCCCCTGCCTTGGTGTAACTGTGTGTCCAGACTGTCCACACACAGAGCAGTAGGGGCGGGGAAGAGTGAGGATAAGACTCAGACACACAGCAGAGCACATGTGGGAGGAGGGAGACGAGAGGGAACGAGGAGGAGGAAAAAGGCGAGCGAGAGGGAGGAGAGTGGGACGAAGACGGTGAGAAAATGAGTGCCAGCTGTCCGAAAGTGGAGATTTCTTAGTGTTCTGTTATTAAATCCATAGAAATGATAAGTATTTGATATATTGCTATTTTTTACATTAGTAAATTATTTTACATATAGTTTAGCATTATTTTGGTTATAAATGTACTCTACGCAACAGAAAATCTGAGGAGCCACTTGGGAGCCGAAAGAGATGGCTCTTTTTGGTGAGCTGAATTCCCATCACTACAAAACAACCAAAGGGGAGAATCCCACTTCCTCATTTCAAAATAAAATACGTTTCAAAATAAAACAATGCGAGGAGATGGTGGGCTAGGCAGATTTCACCCAATATAAGCGTTTTATCCAGATCCAGCAGCTGAAAGGATGATCAAGTATTTGATTGCTCACAAGAAAATACCTTCCGATCTTCCAAAACACTGATCACCAGCAGCAGAGACGCCAAGACTCTCATGGATTCCCCACACATCTCATTCCATCTGAGACTACATGCACACAATGTGGACAGAACACTCTTGTTGGTCCTCAGCTGATAACTGCAACTGCTAAAATAGTGACTCATAATGGTGTAGTTAAAGGTTTGCAATTTTCAAGGCTTTGATTAGAAATATAGTTAACTGTAGTTTCCATCATTCCAGCTCTAGGATGTAATTGTAACATGTTTTTTTTATCCTTTTAGGTACATCGACATACAGGAAAGTTTGCCCCAACTGTGACATGGTGTAGCGATCAAGACTGGCAAGATGGCGTCCACAACTGTGATGATCATTTGCTACTGTCAATACATTTTTGCCTTGTGTTGAGGAATGCACTGCAGGTTAGTTCATGCTTTTACTTATTAGTTGTGTAAAAATTAAAGTTCATATTTATTAAATTTAAATTAAATGTTGACACATTTGTCCAAAAATAACTAAAATATTCTAATTGTGTTCTCATATTTCTGCTGACTCATACTGCTGTCAGCCGTGTCATTGAACTCTTTGAACACACAGAAGGGGAGAGCTTTCCTCACAAGGATCGGATTCTACATGCATATCTATCATTTGAGGGTCGAACTGATGTGGAGTAATCTATTCAGTCAAGTTTAACCTGAGAGCTGAGAGCCCAAGAGACTTTGCTGATATGCTTCTATCCTGGAAGTTTTTTCCCAACATCACAGTGCATGACTATGCCAGAGGACTAGTAAGCCACATCAACAAGCGTTGCCCTGCTGATAAACCCTTTGCCATCCCTGAAGGCAGATTGCTTGATCACACAGCAGAAAACATCAGACAAGCTGCAGAGAGAAAACTGGAAGTGAGCTTACCCTGGTTAAAGCACAAGAAAGACCCCGAAGACGAGGGAGGCCATCCTGTAACTGGCTCCGCCGAGCGCTACTGTTTGAGTGACGTCTGCCACCAAGGCAACAGCAAAGATGACCGTAATATCTTAAGAAGGATTGAAATTGTTCCTGAACTTGCAGGAAAATTGAATAGCCAGTGTGCAGAGCAGCTCTTTGCAGGAGTGAGAAAAAACAACTATTTTCTAAACATGCTCACCCCATCTTCACATATATTTCTGCAAAGAAACATCCCGCACCACTACAATGTCAGGAAGAACACAAGAGCAAAGGAAGCCATTCAGAAGGTCATCAGTCCTCAAGCAGCATTGGTTTTAGACCTCTGTCCTCTGCAGTCCACCCAAGTGACTGGTGTGGGACCTTTGAGAAGCCTGGCAACAATGGAAGCAAGTAAATCCTGCTGGGGTCAAGACCTTAGTGCAGCAGAAACAAATGTGGTAAATCTGTCTCTACTTTGATCCAGTTGTTTACCAATTTTTTGTTTGTGTTTGAAATGACATGGTCGTGTGTTTTATTATTCTGTTTGTATGACACAATGGTTCAAAAATATTATTTTCCCTAAAACCTTTGTAAATTTGGTCTCTTAACCAATTAAAAAACAAACTACAAAATTAGGGCTGGGACTTGATTAAAAATTTTAATGTAATTAATTACGGGCTTTGTAATTAATTAATCTCAATTAATCGCATTTTAATCGTTCAGGAAATTGTGCTCTCAAAGTAAAACTTTTAATTAAAATTATGAGACACAGAATCAAACATTAGACATGGTTATTACTGTAAACTAAAGCTTTTAATAAAAAATGTATTTTAATTATTCAAATGTCACTGTGTGATATGAAAGACCCAAATCAACTAAAATTTTTATTTACAAATAGAAAACACCTGCAAAGGGTTCCTGAGCCTTTAAATAGTCTCTCTGTCTAGTTGAATGACTGAGATAAATTTGACTTTGCACCAGATTCTAATTTTTCCAGTTCCACTTGTTTGTATAATTGGGAGTTTTTATTAGCAATTCTACTCATAATGTAGTAAAAACACATAAATAATAATTCTTCAAAATGACAGTAGAACAGGCACAAATATGATCTAAGACTTAAATGTATGAACTTTTAACACCAGAGCAGGCGCGGCATATTCTGAGAATGATCAGGAACACTAACTGGTTCCAGTTGGATGACTGGAGGATGATGGGAAGATAAAAGATCATGGCGAGGAAATAATGATCTGAAGAACAGGTGAGCGGACCTTCCTTACATGGGAAGTCCTGATAAGGGGATGCTGCAGCCCCGCAGATTCACGCCTGCAGCAGCGAATCTGGTGTGATCTCCAGCCTGAACACAACTTTCTCGTTCCTCGTTGCCCCCGATACACTTAAGCATCCGCCCCTTAGCTGATGGCAGCTTCAACACACCTCGCTGCTTAATGATAGTAATGCATGTGATGTTTAGACAGAGACTCGTCTCAAAAACATAGAATTCCCCGACAGAATTGTTTAGAAAAGTTTCAGAGTGTTTCTGTTTTAACTTAAACTTCTGTTTTCAACTTTAAGACACGTTGTTGGTGATTGTTTACAGAGTAGTGAGAACACGGAGCGTTCTCCCAGCGGCAGCCAGGTGCCTCTCGTTTATCTGCCTACTTCATAAACTACTGTTAGGGCACAGAATTATTCTGTCTGGTGCTTTCAGCGCTGCACAGATGTTACGTAAATGTTAAAAATATAACTTACTGCAACTTTTGTAAAGTTTCCGGTGCCACCGGGCAGCCGCAGCAGTATCGATCTCTGAAAAATGTCCGCGACACGGACTCAGTTGTTGTCTGGAAGTTATTATTTTTCCAAGTTAAGAAAAGATTCGGACGTGTTTCCTAAATCCTGCATCAGTCCAAGCAAGGCAACTTCTTTCTGTTTTTATTACGTTTTAGTAGCCATTAGCACTGTACATTGTTGTGTGCGTCAGTGATATTCGGTCTACGAGGAAGTCGTGCAATGACAAAGGTTCCGTCGTGCTTGAAATGCAAGCTGCGATTAAATGCGTTAATTTTTTTAACGCATTATTTTTTTCTAATTAATTAATCGTAATTAACGCGTTAAAGTCCCGGCCCTAATATATATATGTATGTATATATATATATATACATACATACATACATATATATATATATCCCCTTAAGCCGTACATTAAAGACAGTGACCAATTATTTGCTATAATGTCACATCCTGGAGGTTCAGAGGGAATCAATTGTTGATAATGTTTCTTCCTTGTTTTTCTCCTTTTATCAAGGCAAAACTGAGGGGCATGACCGTCTAAAGAGAAAGTTACCTGAGGAGGACCAACGTGCAAAGAAGAAATTGATTGACCTTCTGGAAAAATCTGAAAAACAAGCATCTGACAATTTTGTTAGAGTTATAAATGCATTAGAAATGCTCACCACATCTATTGCTGAAGGTTTTTCTCTTCTTAGACAAGGTGTGCAGCCTCCTTTCTCTTCTTAGACAAGGTGTGCAGCCTCCTCCTGCACAATCTTCACATTACATGCCATATGAAGCAAGAGGGCACATGTATGCACATACACCATTCCTACACCCACTCCAAGCTAATCAAGCATTCCAATCATTTTCAAACAGCTCACCTTCTGCCAGAGGAACACAACAGAATGCCACAAGCTACATCAATACACAAGATGCATCCAGTTCCAGCATGTCAGCTGAGAGAACAGGCCTCACAGCATTCTCATACACCCAAGCCCTTTTCAGTGATGAGTAATAAATGGTCCCATCCTGCCTAAAGGTAAAGCACTACGTTGTAAATGTGAAAGAGCTCAGAAATGTGAATGTGCACTAAAAGAAATCTCATGGACATTCAGTTTTGTAAGAGATTTATTTTTATTTGAAATAAGGCTGTTTTATAAAGCTGTTGTTCTTGTTTTTTTTCCCCTTAGGCTGGCAAGAGCATATTTGCTTTCAAATGTTCAATGACATTCAACAAGTTTTGTGTTAATAAAGCAAGACAAACATTTTGGAAAGGAAATGTGAGCAGTGACTGTTAAACATTGCTTATTATAAGTTTGTTTACATTACACAAGAACTGAGAATATACCACTCAACAATGTTTGGGTAAATTGATCAAACCCCCAGTCTCCCTCCCTCTCCCTCCTTCCCTCCCTCTCCTGACAACATTGTCCCTTTTATGGACCCAGGTACTGGGTGAGGACTCTTCTGACCATCTTCCCTTCAATGGTGCTGTTACGCGCTCGCCCTTCTGAGGAACAACACATTACAGACCTCAAACAGCATATTGCACTTTTCCTTAACACAGAAATGTCAAAAAGCCCATTCCCTGGGCCAGTCAGGTTTTAAAAGAGCGTTTCTTCTTCAATACGTTCACATTTTACTTCCCAAGTTGCAATAGAGAAAATCCAACTCATGTATCTGTGACTTACTTGCAATTCTGGGATCAAACTAATGATTGTCATTAAGATTTCGTTCCGGAGCAAGGCTCTGCAACATGTGGCTACGATGGCATGTCGCAAGTCTTTGCCGCTACCCTACCAGCTAAAAGAAATGTGGGCCTTTTACTGGATTGGCATCAAAATGCACCAATAGGTCTTTTCCACAAAGACCCAAATAGGTTGTTGGAGAAACACATTGCAATTTATTGCTGCCAAACACATGAAAAGCTGAACTCACACACTAAGGAAAATCGAGGTGGCAGCCGGCACCTGTTTTCAAGGATTTCACACACGGAGGCCGGCCAGAAGGCGCCCGAACAGGGGGGCGTGGGTCCTACCTTCCATGGGCCCACCACTCATAGGAGGGACAAAGGAAAAACGAGGTACTTCTCTCAATTGAGGTGAAGGTGGTCGGTTTGTACATCCAAATGTTAAATAATATCGTTTGTACATTCTGATGTCTGCGATCTGAACAAATTTGGATTAAAGCCATCGTCGTACAGGATCTGCTCGGGTGCAGGATCTGCTCGGGGTCCTTCGACTTCCGATGACGTCACATTACTGCGACTCTACTCGGCTTTCACACACACGTTTTGGAAAGACATCAGCAGTTTAGTTAATAAATTCTTGTTTGTTAACACCTAAATGTTCTCTTTATAATTGTAATTTGTTAATAAAACACCATATTATCTTTGTTTTGTAAAGAATGTGAAACTGCATAAAACCAACATCGGACTGACAAACAACAGAACAGTTCTTATATGTGAAGCCACATCTGTCTATAATAATGTGGAGTTCGTCTGTATATTTCCTTAGTTGTTATCCAAATACATGCTTTGATTCTAAATGTTGCTTGGTGTCTTTCAGTAAAGTTCTTATATTTTATTTTGCCCCATTTCATCAACATCAAGAGCTTTTGAGGGTCACCGTTTATCATTTGCTTATATTTTACATTTCCTTTAGAAATTCAAACACATTTTCTCCAAAAAGTGTTGATTTCTGGACTACAGGACTACAACCGCTAAGACTACGACCGCATATTTGTTCTGACCAATCAATATCATAACGTGATAACGTCACACCCGTAAGCTTCATATTCAGCCAATCAACTACTTTGACGTCATCGGCAGTCGAAGGACCCCGAGCCGATCCTGCAGACATTCATATTAAAACCTGGAGTTCTGTCTGTTTAATTACATTAGTACTATTTCTTTATTTATTTTCTTTCAATTGTGTTGTTCGCCGTTGTTGAGCTCGGGGGTAGCTCAACCGGGGGGCGGATTGTGTGTGTGGGGTGGGGGGCGTGTTTTGCCTGGGCAATGTCCGCAGCTAGGTATTATTGGAGACACGACCTAGAAGCTGTGCTGTTCTGAGATAACTCGGTGGACTTGGTGAGTTTTGGTAGTCAGTAGTCGGTAGTACAGTCAGTAACGTAGTTGGATCTGGAACATTTACCGTCTTTAGTGAGTGGAGCAGTTCACTTGGTGAGTGGACACCGTTTCTTTGTGAGGGAAAGCACGCTAGCGGCCTAATGGAGTTAGCATCATGCTATCGCTAAATCGCGAGTGGGGTTTTCCCTGCTTAAAATCAACAAACTATTTTATTACCGTTAAATAGTTTTAATAAAGAGATCCCTAGAACGCGCGCGCGCACACACACACACACACACACACACACATACACACACAACGGCAGCTCCTTGCTACAGACAGAAGTTTACTCAACAGCATTCAGCATGAAAATGAACCAAGTAGCAAGTATTAAATAGACAAAACAGGCTAAAAAGAAATGCCAGCTGATGTTTCAGAGCATTCGTTAAGCAGATGTTTTTCAGGGATGCATATTTACATGTAAATAAAAATACATACAACTTTAGAAAGACACATTTACTGAGTAAATGTATAATATAATGACTTAGTAATCAATAATAATACTGAAAACACAATAGCATTCTGCTAAAACACACCTAAAGTTCATTTAGCTGGGATTCCTGTGTTTTCATGTACATTACACGTCCGTGGAGCTGCCTCTTGGCCAGGACTCCCTTGAAAGTAAGGTTTGTGATCTCAATGGGACCTTCCTGGTTAAATAAAGAATAAATAAATAAATAAACTCACTACTTCTTCATGTAAACTCTAAACGAACCCCTTTAGTGCTCTTGGCTCAGCTGGAGACGAGGAACCCTCAGGTTGTGTTGTTCTTTACCTTTTCAGCTTCCAGCCCTCTGCTGATATCACACCTTTAGGGATGGGTACCTTTGACATTTGAATCGATCCGGTACTAATTCCCAGTACCTACGAGTCGATACCGGTACTTAACGGTACCAATTTTCGATACTTTTGAGTGTTTATTATTTTAATTCTCTTTTATAATTAAATATATATTTTTCTCAATATATAACCATATTTGATAAATATCACGATAAATAACATACAAGTTTGTATTTTAACATCGTCCTTGTAGTTTTATAAGCTGATAATTAAACTGAAGCAAACATCTTTACTGTGAACTAAATTTACTGTGTATCTTCATTCCTTTTGCCGTCCTTTTTCCATTTGATTTTTCCTACTGGGAAGTTAGAATTTCCGAGGAGAAAGCGAACGCACCATTAGCTGATAACAACGGTGGCAATGGAAGCTAACATATCAAGCTAACGTTATCTTTAACAGCTTATTTAGCTGCTGGAGCAGATTAAAACGATGATGCCTCAAACTTAGATCGTTGTCGCTGGTTTTACCTTCACCCATTCACCGGTCGCATTTAGTAAAGTAAAGCCAAACTTTAGAGCGCGTTCATGTTCTTCTAGTCGGAAATTCGGAGTTCCGAGGAGAAAGCGAACGCACCATTAGCGAAACGGAAGCTAACAAATCAAGGTAACGTTATCTTAAACATTTTATTTACCTACTGGAGCAGATTAAGATGAGGATGTCTCACTTAGATCGTTGTTCATCACCCAGTTACCCATCACATTTAGTGAAGTGGACCCAAGCTTTAGCGTGCGTTCTTTCTACCATGCTTGCTCTGTTTACAACGGGCTCGCAGGGACCGGCGACATAACGCTCTTGCGCATGCGCAGCTGTCTTGGCAGTACAGAAACGAGGCACCGTTTGAAATGACGTGAATCGGTGTTCGGTCGGTACCTTAAAAAGTACCGAATTCGGTACTCATCCCTACACACCTTGCTTTCCTTGTTGGCTCCATGAGATGCTGCCATGCTGGATTTGACTTTTAGTGAGCCACCAGACAGAACTAAACAGGAGAAACCGTTGTTAGTATTTTTGTAGAGCATCCATCTTCTATTTAGTCTGTAGCTGGAAGAACAGAAGAGAACTCTGTGAACTCTGGTGAGCAAAGGTCCTCTTTTCCAGACTGGATCTGTCCTCAGCTGATCAGAACCAAAGCGTTGGATCTTTAATCTCCTGCGTTGTTCTGAAGCAGCATCTTAATCAGCTCTCCTGCTTTGTTTCTATTGCAGCTGTTAGCTAAACACGGCTAAAGAAAACCTGCTACCACTTCAGGATCATCCATCAGCTGGGACTGATTCATCGTGTGTTCTTCACCACCTGGACCTGGACAGCATGGACACAGGTACTGGTGGATGAATGACTAGCTGTTGTTACAGGACCAGAGCGTTTCCAGTGCGGGATTTGCCGCGGCTCCCTGGGGAGGATTTTGGCATTTATAGTAGCAAAGCTGAAGCTAGAATAAACTGTCATCAGGCACCTCTCAAACCAAGACGGGATATAGGGAGGTCGCTGGGCGCCCCCCGCATGTGACGTACAGGGTCGTGTGATCAGCGTCAGATGGAAGACACGTCAGACTGATGAAATTTCTTTTTCAGAACCTTTAGCTTTGATGTGACCTGCTTTTTGTCCCGCTTGACACCCCGCTCAGCCGGTGTTTTCACCACTCTGTCGAACAGCTGGCTGTCTCTCACCGTCCCCGTAAAAAGGCATAGCATAGTTTATTTATATAGCACATTTAAAACGCAGCATGGGAGCTGCCCAAAGTGCTGCACAGGCTAAATCAAAACACAACCATTCGAAAGAACTAAAACAGAGGATAAAAATCCCAATCAAAGGCAGATAAAACATGATGAATACTAAGAACACATTAAAACAATGATGCAATAAAACACTAAAACGAGTCACTGTCTAAAAGCCAAAGCGTAAAAGTGGGTCTTTAAACGAGATTTAAAAACCGCCAGAGATGGAGCCTGCCCAACTCCAATGGGCAATGAGTTCCATAGCTTTGGGGCAGCATGGACAAATGCTCGTTCACCCCGCGATTTGAATCGCATCCGCGGCGTGCACAGCAGCAAAAGGTCAGCCGACCTC